ATGCCCTTGACCAGAATCGAACCTGGGACCTTTAAGTTCGCAGACCGACTCTCTATCCACTGAGCAAACCGGTTTCGACATGTAGTTGTTTTTTTTTAGTGTCTATGTGGCCTTGGTGTCATGGTTGTGGGCTGGCCTCATAGAATGAGTTAGGAAGTTTTCCCATCTCCACATTTTTTTTAAAACTTTGAGGAGGTTTGATGTTATTTTCAATTGAAATGGTGGAATTCACCAGCAAAGCCATCAAATACAGGGCTTTTCTTTGTTGGGAGCTTTATTATTACTGACTAGAGGCCCGCCCGATGCACGAAATTAATGCATGGGGGTGGGTGTCCCCCAGCCCCGCCTGCACCCTCTCTAATCTGGGATCCCTTGAGGGATGTCTGACTGCCCATTTAGGCCCGATCCTGATGGGATCCTGATGGGATCAGGCCTAAACGGGTAGTTGGACCTCCCTCTCACAATCCAGGACTGCTGGCTTCCTACTGCTCGCCTACCTGCCTTCCTGATTGCCTTTAACCGCTTCTGCCTGCCAGCCTGATCTCCCCCTAACCACTCCCTTGCCAGCCTGATTGATGCCTAACTGCTCCCTGCCAGCCTGGTCATCCCTAACTGTCCTCCCCTGCAGGCCTGGTTCCCCCAACTGCCCTCCCCTGCAGGCCTGGTTCCCTCCCAATTGCCCTTTCCTGCAGGCCTGGTCACCCCCAACTTCCCTCCTCTGCCGGCTTGGTCACCCCTAACTGCCCTCCCTTGCTGGCCTGATTGCCCACAACTGCCCTCCCTTGCAGGCCTGGTCTCTCCCAACTGCCCTCCCCTACTGGCCATCTTGTGGTGGCCATCTTGTGTCCACATGGGGGCAGGATCTTTGACCACATAGGAGCAGCCATCTTGTGTGTTGGGATGATGATCAATCTGCATATTACTCTTTTATTAGATAGGATAGAGGCCTGGTGCATGGTAGGGGCTGGCTGGTTTGCCCTGAAGGATGTCTTGGATCAGGGTGAGGGTTCCCTTGGGGCATGGGGCAGCCTGGGCGAGGGGCCTGTGGTGGTTTGCTGGCCATGCCCCCTGGCAACCCAAGCAGAGGCCCTGGTATCTGGGGTATATTTATCTTCTACAATTGAAACTTTGTAGCCTGGAGTGGAGCCAAGCCTTCTGCTTGCTCCATGGCAGCAGCCATTTCCTTGGGGACTTATGAATCTTCTTCTTTTAAATATATTTTATTGTACAGAGAGGAAGGGAGAAGGATAGAGAGTTAGAAACATCAATGAGAGAGAAACATCGATCAGCTGCTTCCTGCACCCCTCCCCCCACACTGGGTATGTGCCTGCAACCAAGGTACATGCCCTTGATTGAAATCGAACCTGGGACCTTCAGTCCACAGGCCGACACTCTATCACTGAGCCAAATCAGTTGTGGCTTATGTATCTTCTGTAATTGAAATTTTGTAGCCTTAAGCAGAGGCCTGGGCCAGCCAATCTGTGCTGAAAGCTTGGCTTTCTCCATTGCTGGGGGCAACCCTAGCCTCCTCCTCTTTCCAGCTCCATGGCTGCTGCCATTTCTGTTTGGATTTATGTATCTTCTGTCATTGAAACTTTGTAGCCTTGAGTGGAGGCCTAGGCCGGCAAGGACAGGCGGAAAGCTTGGCTTCCTCTATTGCCGGGGAAACCTGCTCTCTGTGGCCATAGCCATCTTGGTTGGGTTTATTTGCATATGTGCTGTTGATTGGCTGATGGGCGTGGCCTATGGGTGTAATGAAGTGATGGTTAATTTGTATATTACTCTTTTATTAGATAGGATTCAACCACCTTGCTTTTGTTGTTGTTAATCCTCATCCAAGGATATTTCCCTTGTGATTTCTTCTTTGATCCATGTTTAAGAGCATGCTATTTAATTTCTACTTTTTTGTGGGCTTTTCAGATTTACTTTTGTTGATTTATAATTCATCCTCTTGTGGTCAGAGAAAATGCTTTGTATAATATCTGCCTTTTAAAATCTATTGAAATGGATCTGTGGTCTCATATGTCCTGGAGAATGTCCTGTGTGCACCGGAAAACGCGTATGTTGCATGTGTCTACCAGATCTCATTGGGTTAGTTTGTTGTTGAAGTCCTCTCTTTATCCTCTGTCTGATTGTTGCTTGCTAATGCATTTTTAAGTTATTAAATATAATTTATATTATTTTGAACAATTCAAATTCAGAATTGATAGTTAACCTCCAAAAAGGAGCCAGAGTGTTTGTATCATTGGTGAACTTTCTGTGCTGTGTGAAGATTACATCTCGGTTGCCTTGCCCATTTTTATAGAGAAGAGAAAGAATATGCAACCCTGCTCTTTAGTGAGCTGACTGTGGACATAAACCCTCCAGGTCCACAAGCTCTTAGCCAGTCACCTGATTCCCAAGTGACTAGATCAGTTTTTCTAAGAAAAACGTAAAGGTGCATTTGTTAACTTGAGAGAGAATCAAGTCTAATTGATTGGCTGCTTCTTATATACGCCACAACTGGGGCATGCGCCCTGACTGAGAATCCAATCGATGACCCTCTGGTTTATAGGTTGACACTCAACCATTGAGCCATGCCAGCTGGGCTGAGTCAAAATAATTTTGAGGAAATTTAAATTGATTTCAGTTTATGCTGATAATAGCTAACTTATATAGCAGCTTCTCCAGAATTGAAAATTGGCTTGCTGTTGATGTGAAATAAATATTTTAACATAATTTTTCATTTATAACCACCTGCCTATTCTGAGAAAGAATTCAGCACAATCCCTGAGCTGTGTCTGGACTCTGATGTGGGAATGGAAACTAACCTGCTCAAGTGACTGTCCCAAGCCAGTCGTTTTACCATTTCTTATACAACTTAGGTGATGTTTTCATTTTTAATTTACTTTTGTTAATACTCACCTGACGATATTTTTTTCCATTGATTTTTAGAGAGAGTGGAAGGGAGGGAGTGAAGAGGGGAAGAGAGAGAGAAAAAAAACATTGATGTGAAGGAGACACATAGATTGGTTGTCTCCCGCACATGTCCTGACCTGGGTCAGCAGCTCAGGTATGCGCTCTTGACCAGGAATCGAATCCAATGCTCTAACCACTGAGCACATCAACCTTGGCTGTAGATGAAGAGGCTGTTGATAAAGATTTTAAAATAAAAATAACTTCAAATAATGATTACTTATTGATGTATTCATTGTTGGATATTTGTATTATAAATGTTTCCTTTCATATTTTCTGAGATGAATTTTGTTATTTTTTAAAAAATATATTTTTATTGCTTTCAGAGAGGAAGGAAGAGGGAGAGTGATAGAAACATTAATGTTGAGAGAGAATCATTGGTTGTCTCCTGCATCTCTCCACCCCCCACCCCCCCCATGTCCTCCCCAGGGATCGAGTCTGCAACCTGGGCATGTGTACTGATCAGGAATCAAACCTGACCTGGTTCATAGGTCGATGCTCAACCACTGAGCCATTCTGGCCAGACAAATTTTGTTATTTTTAATTTGACAGTCTGCTTGTTGCTTTACTGTCTCTATATCTATCTTTTGGTTCATCAGTTTATAATGTTCTTTGTTATCCATAAATGAGTGAGGTCATGTGGTATTTCTCTTTCATTGACTGGCTTATTTCACTCACCATGATGTTCTCCAATTCCATCCAGATTGCTGCAAATGATGAGAATTCCTTCTTTTTTATGGCAGCATAGTATTCCATTGTGTAGATGTACCATAGTTTTTTGATCCAATCATCTGCTGACGGCACCTAGGCTGTTTCCAAATTCTAGCTATTGTAGATTGTGCTGCTATGAACATAGGGGTGCATATATCCTTTCTGATTGGTGTTTCTAGTTTCTTGGGATATATTCCTAGGAGTGGGATTACTGGGTCAAATGGGAGTTCCATTTTCAGTTTTTTGAGGAAACTCCATACTGTTCTCCACAGTGGTTGCACCAGTCTGCATTCCCACCAGCAGTGCACAAGGGTTCCAAATTTTGTTATTTTTAAAGATTTTTGTTTAATTCTTGCTGAGGATATGCTTGTTTGTTTTTCTTTGATTTTTAAAAATTCTCTTTTAAATCATGTGTGTGTTTTTTTGTTTTAAATATATATTTTTAAAATTAATTTCAGAGAGGAAGGGAGAGGGAGAGAGAGAGATAGAAACATCAATGATGAAAGAGAATCATTGATTGGTTGTCCCCTGCACACCCCCTACCAGGATCAAGTCTGTAGCCTGGGCATGTGCCCTTGACCTGAATTGAACCCAGGACTCTTTAGTCCAGTGTTTCCCAAACTTTTGACATATGTGTACCCCTTTTATAATTTTCGTAACGCTGAGTACCCCTCGTCAAAAGAAAATGGATATATTAGGCGCAGCTAAGCATGGTGCAGTGCATATCCCCACCAAACTCTGGTGCAACGCGTTCCCCCATCAAACTCTTCCCGTACCCCTGGGGATTACCTTGAACCACACTTTGGGAAACACTGCAAGTCCGTAGGCTGACATTCTATCCACTGAGCAAAACCAGTGAGGCCTGTTTTTTATTGATTTTAGAGAGAAGAAAGGAGAGAGAGAAACTGATGTGAGAGAGAATCATTCATCAGTTGCCTCCATATGTGCCCCGACCAGAGAGTGAACCCACAAACTAGTTATATGCCCTGACTGGGAATCAAACCCACAGTCTTTTGTGTTGGTGATGATGCTCCAACCAACTGAGGCCCCTGGCCAAGTTCATGCATTTGTCATAAAATTATTAGTTTATTTCTTTGCTAAGATGTAATTGAGATTGATTGAAAAAATGACAAATGGTACTTGAAAAATGTTTCTAAGACATAAAACTTCTGAAAGTTAAGTATGTGAAAATGTTTCTCCTCTTAGATCTCCACCACCTATTGGATTTTACCCCCAAAGCTCCCGTGTGACGCACTGACACCGTCAATGTAGACCCAGGCAATGATGATTCAGTAGGAGACTGCAGATCGGGGCAGGGCTCCTGGCTGCCCAGCATGAACGGGGACGAGGAGTTCTTTGATGCCGTCACAGGTGAGCCCAGAGAAAAGGCCCATCATTCACTAGTTCATGGAGCGCAAAGCCCCCACCCGGGTCTGCAGATTGAGGATGGTCAGGAAAGCATTTCCCAGGCTTGACTCTCATCTGAGGAGAAAGCTCAGCTTTAGACAACAGGAAATAAAAAGAAAGGGCAATTCCGTTTTTAGTCTTTAAAGGAATTGCTCTTGCATGTAAATGCTCAAAGTTCAGTTATTTTCCATTTCCCCACAGCCTTTCTAAGTAGCGGCACAGAGCCTGTAGTTGGAAAGCTGCTTGGTGTGCCCAAGTAGAAACAGCATTGATGGGAGTGTTTGTATGAGGGTGGTGGGGCAGTAGGCTGGGTCACTGGGCTGGGTGGGACATATAAACTTTGAGCAGCCCCTTTCTCCCATCACAGTGACCACTTGAGGTCCAAAGCTATTTTTTTAAATATATATATGTATATATATATATATATATTTTATTGATTTTTTACAGAGAGGAAGAGAGAAAGGGATAGAGAGTTAGAAACATTGATGAGAGAGAAACATCGATCAGCTGCTTCTTGCACATCCCTTACTGGGGATGTGCCCGCAACCAGGGTACATGCCCTTGTTCAGAATCAAACCCAGGACTTTTCAGTCCGCAGGCCGACGCTCTATCCATTGAGCCAAACTAGTTTCGGCAAGGTCCAAAGCTCTTAAAGTTCAAGACAGCCGCTTGCTCTCTATCCGCCACCCTCGTGGCCCACTTTTGGAATCTTGTTTTGGGTACCCAGGTGTTAGTGAGTCTTCCCAAGTGCAGTCAGGAGGCCACCTGTGTTACTGCCTAAACGACATGGAGCCCAGCACAGCACAAGGTTCTTTGTGTTCGCTGTCACTGTCTCTTGGCCTGCTTCGCTGTCCCCTGAGCCTTGTCAGCACCTTCTTGGTGCATGCTTCCATCACCACCAAGCTTCTCTTTCCCAAAGGAGGAGCGGGGGCCAGTGTATGGACAGGCAGCCCAGATTACTGATTCATTCCTGTGGCAAACCCAGGAGAAGGGAGGCACTGAGCACGCCGCCATCCCTCATGGTCAGGTGCCTTCCAGAGATGTGTCTGTGACTCACGTGCTCTTCACACTTCAGCTCCTGATGAGACTGAGCCCCCACTAGTGGCGGGTTCAGGGGATTGCCTCAGGCCTCCAGAGAGGCTGGCCTCCATGGGTCCCTCTCGCCTGGGAACCAGTGTGACCGAGACTGCTGGCCGGCTGAGTTTCTGCCAGAGGATTCTCCCGGAGAGGTCTGGAACTCTGTGGTGTGGTGTTTGGGTGGTGCCTCTCGTCTGTCTGCACAGCAGCAATGCTCTGCATGGACTCAGGAAAGGGGGAAAAGGCAGGTGAACTGATTTGTCACCTCCCTCCTTTGGGTCCAAAACAGACAATGGGAGGAATGACATTGGGAAGGGTCCCCTTGCAGTGAAGTAGCCACAGAGATGCAGAGCAGCCTGCTTCACTGTCTGGAGCACTGGGTTCCCCTTTAACTCACCTAAAAAGTCTCTGAACCCAGCAGTTATTAGAGGAACGACTTCAACAGGCAACCACTTCTTCCAGGAAGGTCTTCAAGTCCATGAAACCACGTACAGACCGAGGGCTAAAACTTCCCGAACTGGCCTGTTGGAAGGGATTGTCTCTGAAGGATCAGATCACGAGTGACCTCAGGCTTCCCTTTTTCTACAGTAAATACATGTTGACAGAGCACTGGCCTAATTTGAGGCAAGACCTTCATATAATTGTCAACGACATGTGGCCTGTTTTTGGGCACACGTCTGGCTGTAGTCGAAGCAAACGGTCCACATAAAGCTCTCAGCACTGAGGGAGGGTGTGGAGATGGGCCGCCTGGCACAGGCAGTGGGCAGGCCCTGCAGACGTTCTCTTTAGTCAGGATGCTCCAAGCTCAGTGTAGACTGGGCGTCAAGTAGATGTGCTTTTGGGATTGGCCGTGAACATTAGAGGCTCTTTCAGAAGACAGTGGTCAGTTAAGAGGTTCATTTCTATTGTATCCTTTCAAAATCATCGTGCAATTAATCTCACTTTGACATTGAATAACTTTGTCAACGTGGGAGAAGATGAAAGGATATTTGCTATTCTCAGGGAGGCTCAGCAGCAGATATTGTACTGGTTTGGGGTCTGACAACAATTAGCCCCTAGCTTTACACCTGGGCCTCGCCTTACTTTCTGTGAAATGGCGGGACCTTGTGAGCACAGGCCCTGCTGAAGTAGTCTGGGTCGTCACCGGCACCGGCAGGAGCCACCTCGCCCTGGCGGCCCAGTCCCTCGTGGGACAGAGCACGCCTTCCTTCCCCACCGCTGCCTGCTCCTTGGACAGGAAGCCCTTGGGGGAAGGGCCCTGGAGCATGTCCCAGTGGGCGCTCTTCTTGAGTCTGGGTGGCCTGGAGAACATACTCAGCTGTAGTTTATGTGAAGCCTAGATGGCTCCTTTCCCCGGGTTTCTATGCTGTGGAGGAGTGCTTTAGTTAAACCAGTCACTTGCTCTCAGTGACCATCAGTCCAATCGGTTCCGGTAGTGGCATGGCACAGTGTCTGCCTTCCTTAGAAACCGGCCCAGTGGGTTGGATCTGAAGAGGAGGTGTGGAGTGGGACTGCAGATCTTATGCAGACAGGACACGCTGCCTCCTTGAGGCCCAGGTGAGAGTGTTGTAGAGGCTCCGGCCCAGGAGGGTGTGAGTTATTGAATAAAGCCACAGGAACCCTGTTCTGGGTCCCTGAGGCTGAACCTCAGGTCAGCGACAGTGTCCAGCAGGCCCAAAGGAACCTGGTGTATGTGAAATCCTGGTCAGAGTGGGCGGTCTTTCTCCCTTGGAAGCTCCCAGGGCTCCTGCTTCCCCGCCCTTCGTTCTTGAGACTTAATTAACCTGAATGTGCCCGTAGAGCAGTCTGGACCTTCAGGTGTTCTGCTTGCACAGAATTCTGGGAGGCCGGCTTTTAGCTTCCACGTCCTGCAAAAATGACCACTCTGTTTGTCTTGCGCAGGCTTTGATTCTGATAACTCTTCTGGGGAATTTTCAGAGGCCAGTCAGAGAGCCCTCGGAGGGCTGCCTGTGGACACCAGCAAAAGCACCGGCATTGGGGAAGCTGGGGAAAGGCCCCCACAGGAGAATGGGATTCAGAGGCACAGGTATGGCGCTCCACGTGTGATTTAGAATCTTCAGTGTGTCCGTGGCGGCCCTCAATATGCCGAGGCCGGAGGGCCATGTGGGCCGGCTCCTCCGACAGACTCCTGTTCCCGACTCCTGTTCCCATCATCTGAAGAATGGCAGGATGGCCACCCTGCCCCACAGTGCTGGGAAGCCTGAGCGCGGCCGGCGACCTGGCACCACACCTGGGGCCTGGCACACTGCAGGGGACCCTCCTCCTTCAGTGCAGGGAGACCACATTCCAGTCTCCTCTCAGTGTTTCATTCACAGGCCAGGAGATTCTGATGGCCGTGACCCGATGCGTCAGCGGGGTGGAGCTCGTGAGGTGGTGTCAGTGGAAGGTGGGCCTCTGTCCACCCTGATCTGGCTTGCATCTGGGCTCCAGGGTGCCATCCACCTTCAGCCTGACCTTTCTGAGCTTTAGGCCCAAATGCTTACTCCACGCCTGCCCTGGAGGACTCATACTTTTACTTGTTCAGCCGCTTGCTCGGTAGATGTTGTCACACCTCCTGCATGCTAAGGTGACCTGGCCCATGCAGGCCCGATTTCCGCTGTCAGCCCCTCCTCCGCACCCCGCAACTGGTCCATAGTGACATTGGCGAGTCAGCCCAGAAGCTTCCCCTTTTTCTCCCCTTCCCATTTCCCAACTCTGACACACGCCTGGGCCCCTTCAGTCCTTCTGACTGCTGTCACATCCACCCTATCCCCTGGGTCTCCTGCAGTCACCGTGTAACTGCACCCACACCCCTCTTTCTCCATGCTGCAGCAGTCACTTTTTCAGACAGGTCTAGCCAGGCCACGTCCACCCCTCACTTAAAACTCAAGTGGGCCCTGGATGGTAGCTCAGTGGTTAGAGTGTCAGCTCAAGCACCGAAGGGTCACAGGTTCCATTTCCAGTCAAGGGCATGTACCTGGGTTGCAGGTTTGATCTCCAGCTCTGTCAGGGCACATGCATGAGGCAACCAATCCAAGTTTCTCTCTCCCCCTCCCTCCCTGCCCTCCCTTTACTCTCTCTAAAATGGAAAAAATATCCTCGGGAGCCCTAGCTGGTTTGGCTCAGTGGATAGAGCATCGGCCTGTGGACTGAAGGGTTCTAGGTTCAATCTGGTCAAGGGCACATGCCCGGGTTGCAGGCTTGATCCCCAGTAGGAGACATGCAGGAGGCAGCCGATCAATGTCTCTCTCATCATTGATGTTTTCCTCTCTCCCCCTCTTCCTGCCTCTCTGAAATCAATAAAAATATATTTATATTTTAATTAAATATAAATATATTAATATATTTTATTGATTTTTTTACAGAGAGGAAGGGAGAGGGATAGAGAGTTAGAAACATTGATGAGAGAGAAACATTAATCAGCTGCCTTCTGCACACCTCTTACCGGGGATGTGCCTGCAACCAAGGTACATGCCCTTGACCGGAATCGAACCTGGGACCTTTCAGTCTGCAGGCCAACGCTCTATCCCCTGAGCCAAACCAGTTACAACAATAAAAATATTTTTAAAAAATATATTTTATTTAAAATATATATATGTATATATTTATTTATTTTATTGATTTTTTTACAGAGAGAAAGGGAGAGGGATAGAGAGCTAGAAACATCAATGAGAGAGAAACATCGATCAGCTGCCTCTTGCACACCCCTCACTGGGTATGTGTCTGCAACCAAGTACATGTCCTTGACTAGAATCGAACCTGGGACTCTTTGGTCCGCAGGCCGACGCTCTATCCACTGAGCCAAACCGATTTCAGCAATAAAAAATATTAAAAAAAAAAATATATATATATATATATATCTTTGGGTGAGGAATTAAAAAAAGAAAGAAAACCATCTCAGGTGGGTGTTCACATGGTGCCCCTCCTTGGAATTCGAGAACAGCGCCCTTTTCCTCTCAGAAGTATCTCGGTGTGGACAGTGAACTCTAAGGTCACGTCCTCTAGGCTGAGGCCAGCATCCTCTCCTCCTCTGTGGCCCCTCCCCACTGTCTCTGGGCTCAGCCACAGTGGCTTCTCGTGGGTCCTCCAGAGCCCCACATCGGGCTGTGGTGTCTCCACCTCCTCCATCTCTGCTGTCTCCTCTCCCCTCCTCTTTCCCTGCTCCCTTCTCAGCCCCCTGCAGTCTAGCCCAGATGACAGTTGCCAATTGACCAGGTGTCAATTGCTGGCAGCCTGTTATGTGGTGCTCTATAAATGGCAGTTTTTCTCATTTTGTCTCCAGCTGCCTCTCTCTTTTCCCTCCCATCCCTAAAAATGAGCAGTGTGCCCTGACTCCGCTGCCCTAACTGACATCCCAAGGGGGAGCTTGGGGTCTTTATGGGGTGAGAGCAGAGTGCTGGAGCGGAGGCGCCGGCTCATGGCTTCCTGTCCTGGGAAGCACCGGGTGGCTTCTGGGACGCAGGGGACCACTGGCACAGTCTTCAGTCTCTGGTCCATCTCACTTCCTGCAAACCCGCACCTCCGTCCCACTGGGCACCCCTCCCTCCCAGATGGAGTCAGGGTCTCATCCCAGCCAAATTCCCAGAAGGGAGACCAGGCCCCACTTGGGTCAGTCTCCTGTGAGCTGGGTCTCATGGGGCAGACATGCCTGTGGTCTGCCTGTGGGGCAGGAATGTGCCTCAGGAACACACACACATTGAAAGGGGCAAACAGTGCATTTCTGAAAAGGTTTTCTTTCTTTTAAACTATTTTATTAAACATTTTAAAAAATATGTGTTTTCTATTAATTTCAAAGAGAGGAAGGGAGAGGGAGAGAGAGAGAAACATCAATGATGAGAGAGAATCATGGGCCAGCTACCTCCTGCACGCTCCCAACTGGGGATTTAGCCCACAACCCGGGCATGTGCCCTGATGCCCAGTCACAGAGCCATGCTGGCTGGGCTGAAAAGGTTTTCTTAATGTATAATAGTTCCCTCTTGGGGACCTTGTGGCCTGGCCTCTGTCCATGGTTCTGCGGTGCTGCAGGCGGCTGGTACACTGCTGCTCTGGGAATAAGGCAGCCCGTCCCCAGGTCTGGAAGGAGAGTCATTGGTGTGGTCACAGTCATTTTCTCCCAGGGTTCCTCCCACAGGTCCATTTCTTTGGGACTGAGCTAGCAGGCTGATCTTTTTCTCCCAGGCATGCCAGGAAAATGAGAGAAAAATGGTCATTGAGCAAAATCACCAGTCATAAGGGAACCTCACGTTGGATTAATAATAGCATGTGCTGCTGTGGTTACTGTTTTTCAGGACGTCCTTGCCGGCCCCGATGTTCACCAGGAGCGACTTCAGTGTGTGGGGTATCCTGAAGAAGTGCATTGGCCTGGTGAGTGGGCAGCCTGTCTGAGCTCAGCGTTAGACAATGTGAATGCACAGAAGGGTTCACTCCCCACATTTTTTTGCCTTGTTTTATTACTCATCATTCAAGGGTTTTTAAAGGAAGTGAAAGGGAGGGAGAGAAACAGAGAGAGAAACATTAATGTGAGAGAGACACATAGTTTGGTTGCCTCCAGTGCCAGAATGAAGCCTGCAATCAAGGTACCCTTCAGCCCATGGGCCAATGCTTTGTCCAATGAACCAAACTGGCTAGGGTGACTCTGCAGATTTATAAACGGCATGGAGTAAAGATGATGAAACCGGGAAGGCACAAAGATGTAAGGGGAGGAGGGAAGGAAGCAAGGTTACTGATGGACAGGAGGAAACAACTCTCTAGGTTAAACTTGGAACGTTTCCCTCGGTGTTCTGTGATGTGCTCTTGGTAATCGGTGTGAAATGGGGGTGATTGTGAGGTTCCTGGACACACACAGAGGGTGAGACCCAGAAGGCCATCCATGAGGGCTGCAGACAGATGCTTGGAGTCTGAATTGTTTTCCTGTGCCTCATCTCACTTAATCCTCACAGCAGTCCTGGAGTGGGTAGATAGGAGACTCGGTGGAATCCTATTTTCTTTTCATTAGCCGGAAAACAGATTTAGAAAGCTTAGAAACTTGACCTGGCTAAAAAGAAGTAAGAAATGGTGGACCTTGAAAATGACTTCAGGCCTTGTCACTGCTGCAGTTAAATATTTACCCTCTGTTCTCCCTGTGTGATCTACAATAATAATCTGCTTCTTATTGATATTTCCTGCTGTGTTGCTGACAAATACCTGAAAGAGAAGCTGGGGTGCTTCACTGGGCTGGAAAAAGTTTAGCTAAATCAAAAAGCAGGTCTAATTAAGCAAATTTATTCTATATCTATAAAAGGCTAAGTTGACTTGTGCACATGTGATACATATAAACCTCTCGCTATCACCAATCACACGCATATGTTTCCACCTGTCATTGTTGATCATGAATTTGATTGACACTTCTATTATAGAGAACGGGTGAATAGCGATACTAAAATATTCTTCTAATTAATTTCCTTTCAATGTGCACGAATTCGTGCTCCGGGCCACTAGTGTATATATATAAGACTAAGTGGCCATCTGTCCATCTGGCCAACCCACTGACCAGCCGATACATATGATGCACACTAGCAATTTAAAAATAAATGTTGAGCCGAAGCCGATTTGGCTCAGAGGTAGAGCGTTGGTCTGCGGACTGAAGGGTCCTGGGTTTGATTCCCGTCAGGGGCATGTATGTTGGTTGCGGGCAATAAAAAATAAACATTGATTCATGCATTCGAGATACATATAAAGGACTTTCTGGTGCCAATTGCATGCATGTGTTTTAATCTGTCATTGTTAATCGTAAATTTGGTGTTTTTTTTTTTTTTTAATATATTTTATTGATTTTTTAGAGAGGAAGAGAGAGGGATAGAGAGTTAGAAACATCGTTGAGAGAGATTCATCGACCAGCTGCCTCCTGCACACCCCCCGCTGGGGATGTGCCCGCAACCAAGGTACATGCCCTTGACCGGAATCGAACCTGGGACCTTTCAGTCCCCAGGCCGACGCTCTATCCATTGAGCCAAATCGGTTTCGGCTGAATTTGGTTGTTTTTGTTGACATTCTGAAGCTGGAAGAAAGTGGTATTGTCATCAAAATATCTCTGAAGACCAATTATTGATACTTCTATTATAGAGAAAGGGTGAATAGCAATATTAAAAATATTTCTTCTAGTTAATTTTCTTTTAATGTGCATGAATCTGTGCACTGGACCATTAGTATTTCCTATATTTTGCTGAAGGATGGGGCTCTTTTTTAAAATATATTTTTTCATTGATTTTTTTTTTTAGAGAGGAAGGGAGAGGGAGAGGGAGAGAGAGACAGAGACATCAATGATGAGAATCACTGATTGGCTGCCTCCTGCACGCCCCCACTGGGGATCTAGCCTACAGCCTGGTCATGTGCCCTGACCGGGAATCAAACCGTTGACCTCTTGGTGCATGGAGTGACACCCAGCTGCTGAGCAATGCTGGTCAGGAAAGATAGGGCTCTTTTTACACATGACACCATGATACCGTCAGGTGTGCACTCTGTTCAGGGTTCCTGTTATCTGTGGTTTTGCATCTGTGTGTAGGGTCCTTCCTTCGGGAGACAGCTTGTTTGCTCTTGCTCTGAGTTTAAGAACTGCTGGGCTCAGTGCCAAGACCCATGCACTCTTTAGGGCTGCAGGTCAGCGCCGCACTGACCCACCTCACATACTACCTGGGCTGTCTGCGGTGAGTGTGTGTCATTAGGAGGTCAGCACCAATGGACGAATCTTCCTCAGAGTCTGCAGATTATGTGTTTGATTCACTACCATCACCCAGTATGCTGGCATAAGTGAGTAGTATGTCTTTTTAATTTTTAAATATATTTTTAGTCATTTTAGAGAGAGGAAGGGAGGAGAGATAGAAACATCAACATCCATCAGCTGCTTCCTGTATGCTCCCTCCTGGGGACAGCCCACAACCTGTGCGCGTGCCCTGGCTGGGAATTGACTGGTGACCTCTTGCCGTTTGGATTGATGCTCAACCACTGAGCGACACTGGGCTCTTTTTTATGTATTTTAAATGAATAGGGTTTAACCTGCTGGACATGCTCCAGTGCATCTGTGGCTGTGAGAGCCTCTGCAAGGCTCCAGCTCACCCTGTACCTTTACTGTCCCAGCCTGCAGCCAGCACTCGTGCAGGGAGAGAGGCCTCGGGACCCTGCTGGGCCCTGGGGAGCTGCGGGCTTGCTCTCGTCCCCAGTCTTCTTTACATGTTCTGTGGGAGACAGCCGCTGTGCTTTGATTTGTTTCAGGGATGACAGGACTGATTTGACCTCTTCTGGCTCACATATGTTTCTCTTCTCCCCCACACACCGACACTTCAGGTGTTGACACTGGTGCTGCCTAGTGCTGATGGTTGAGCCTAGCAAGTAACCAGTGACTCCCTCGCTTTATCCCAAGTGCATGGCAGCTCTGGGAGCAGGATCAACTCACCCAACAGCGTGTTCGCCTCGAAATCCAAGTCCTTTGGTGCCCCTAGCTCTTGCTGTCCTCAGGGTGCATCTCCTATCCCTGCTTTGGGGAAGGGGCTCCTCCGGGTGGTTGTGCCCAGGGCTGTTCCATTTTATTCTCCATGCGTGCAGGTAGCTTTCCTAAACAAAACTTTATTTTAACATTGTAAGTCCTAAGTCAACGCTCTCAAACAAGAGTATCCCTCTATATGCTCATTCAGCTTCCTGCCCCTGTCCCTCCCCGAGAGGCAACAAATAAAGAGATTCTGTGCTCCATCTTTCCAGGAACCATAAAGTGATGTTGTGTGTCTTCTCCCATTTTCCTGGATAACTACAGGCTTCCCACCACCTTACCCACCCCCAGTGCCAAGGCTCCCAGGCTGCTTCCCACTCCTTCTGCCCTACCTGCTATTGGGTGTAGGCTCATTTCTGGACCCAGGGTAGTGCACGTGCAGCTCTGCCCAGGCAGCAAATCTGGGGGAGGAAGGGAACACCACTGCCCTCCCACCAGCAGGTGCGGGGCTGCCTCCCACCACGCGCCCACAGTGGGTGTCAGGTTCTGATGAGCAGGTGAGCAGTGGAATCTCATGGTCACTGTTTTCCTCTCCTGGCTTGAGCCAGGCCAGCATCTTTCCTGAAATTACTGTCTGCGTTTCTTCCCCTCCTCCCTTGTCCTCCCTCCTTCCTTCTCTAGCCTCCCTCCCTGTCAGCAGCTTCCTGCTGGAGGGGCCTCTGCCTTGTCTAAGTCTGCAGACCTCCTCCCTACAATGCCCTAGAGGCCCTGCAGCGTCCTCCTGGCTGCTCCTGCGCTGCTCGCTTTGCCTGAACGATGCCTGAGAGCAGCTGTCAGAGTGGGTGGTCTCCCTTCCCTGCCTAAGGCTTCTAGTCACCCTGGACATGATGGGAGGCTAGTGATTCTTTTGTTTTTTATTTTATTTATTTTTTAAAAATCTATTGTTGGGAGTATTACATATGTCCTCTTTTTTCTCCTATTGACCCTCTCCAGCCTGCCCCCACCCCCAGGGCTTCACCATTGTCTGTGCCCATGGGTTATGCATAGATGCACACCACACCTCCCCTCCTGCCTTCCCTCTGAGATTCCTTCTCTGCTCCCTGTTTCCGTGTATCTGGACCCACTCCGTTCATCAGTTTATTTTGTTACTTATATTCCACATGAGGGAGATCATGTGACACTTGTCTTTCTCTGACTGATTTATGTCACTCAGCGTGACACTCTCCAGGTCCCTCCATGCTGTCTCACAGGGTAAGAGCTTCTCCTTTGTTACTGCTGCACAGTGTTCCATGGTGTAATGTACCACAGCCTTTTAAAAAGATGTATATGTATTTTTATTGATTTCAGAGAGGAAGGGGAAGAGAAACATCAGTGATGAGAGAGAATCATTGATTGGCTGCCTCCTGCATGCCCCATACTGGGGATCAAGCCCGCAAGTTGGGCATTTGCCCTTGACTGGAATCGAACCCAGGACCCTTCATTGTGCAGGCTGTTGTTCTATCCAGTGAGCCAAACCAGCTATGGCTGTACCACAGCTTTTTTATCCATTCATTTACTGATGGGCACCTGGGCTGTTTATAGATCTTAGCTGTTGTAGGTTGTGAACATAGGCATGCACACTTTCTGGGGGGAGGGCCACTGGAGGCGGCCAGTTGGCAGCTCCTGCCACCGTGGTGTGCACGTGGTCTGGAACAGGGCAGGGGCATGAAGTGGCAGAGGACTGGGAGCCATTCTATGGGAGACAGAGTGGAGCTCACCATGTGGCGGGAGGGCCTGGCTTCCCTTCCAGGTCTGCTCACCCAGCTCAGCAGGTTTCAGATCTTGTTCCCACAAGCCTTTGCTGCTCCAAGAAGTGACTGATTGCGTGGGGCAGGCCAGGTGCTGTGCTTTCTGGGAACCGCCTGTGATGTCCTCGCTGTCCCTCCAGGAGCTGTCCAAGATCACGATGCCCATCGCCTTCAACGAGCCCCTGAGCTTCCTGCAGCGGATCACGGAGTACATGGAGCACATCTACCTCGTCCACAGAGCCTCCCGCCAGCCCAAGGCCCTGGAGAGGATGCAGGTGGGCGGGCCCTGCGCTGGGGGGAGCCAGACCGAGGCAGCGAGTGGATGTGACCCTATTTGACTGGGCACCTCTCCAGGGGAGAAGAGGCAGTACAGTGCACACGCACTCTGGGTGCTGTCCTGCCAGCAGCTGAGACATTTGTGCTGGGCATTTCTCCACAGGAATGCATGGGGCCTGCTTCTTGGCTCCTCCCAGTCTTTTTAGCACCACACCTGTCCTGTGCATATGTGCTTGCCTCTCCACATGTGTTCCCATGCATGTGTGAGTGTACCTGTGTGTGTTCATGCCCATGTGCATGTATACAGCATGTGTGCCATGTGTATTCATGTGCCCATGTGTGTTTAAAGGGGATAAATGCATGGCCCTTGCCACAGGGCATGCTGAAGGACTGGCTGGGACCTGGAAAGCAGCAGGGCTCCTGCTGTCTGTGGTTTTAAGGAAGTGGTGGTGACAAAGGGCACTTCCTGGAATCTCTGTGACCTCAGACACGTCACAGGGGAAGACCGAACAGTCACTAGATAGTGAATCCTGATGCAGGCATGCCAGGTGCCAGCTGCTCCCTGCAGCCTCGGTCCCTTCCTGGCGGGGACTGCTCACGGCCTGTGTGTTGTTTGCAGTGTGTGGCTGCCTTTGCAGTGTCGGCGGTGGCTTCCCAGTGGGAGAGGACCGGCAAGCCATTCAACCCACTCCTGGGAGAGACGTACGAGCTGGTCAGGTAAGGCCAGGCCTGAGTGCCATGCGCGGTGCTGTGGAGGACGGAGGGTGCAGTTCTTCCTGCAGCATGATTCTGCCCTCTGACAGCCGGCCCTGTGGATGGCAGGTTCACTGAGGCGCCTGGAGCACTGCCGGGGTGAGGGGGGGTCGCGTATGGGGGATGTCGGGTCGATCTGTAACAAAACCCTAGTGCTGGGAAGTAGAGTTGGAAATGTGATCCTGTGTTGGACTCAGGAGTGGAGAAGGGAGAGTCTGTGAACAAGCTTGTTAGCTTTGGTGTGAAGTGGACCAGGCTCCCTGCCTCTCGTGCTCTGTGGTCACTCAGAATGAGCCTTGGTCCAGGCGGCCTGGCTGAGCGTGCCACCCAGAGCTCACAGGCAGGGTGTGGGCCCCCAGGCCAGAGGGTCACAGCCTGGCCGGCTCTGGAGCAGTTGGTGGCGTGTATGGACTTTCCTGTTTCGCCCACCCTCGGGTCCCAGGGGGAGCCTCTTGCAGTCCTTTATTAAATGCTAGTTTGTCTTTAGTTATGACAGCGTGCTCTGCTGAGGAGACGTGTACAGTTAGGAAAAGGGAGAACGATGAGTCGGACATCTGTGAGTCCGGCTGAAGTCTGGCCAAGTCCTCTCCTGTGTGCGCACACGATTCCATAATGCAGCAGTGCTCTTTATGTCCTTTCCATTGAACCTTCTGCACCTCATTTCCCCGTGATTATTGAAACTTTTTCTAAATAAGACATTTTTCATGTTTTAGCATTTCTGTCCTAGTTTAATTTGCAGCATTTTTTCTTTCTTTTATAAAGTAAAATAATGGTGTGTTATTTGGTCAGTGGCATCTTGGGCTCAGAGAAGTGTAGTTTCTTTGAAGTTTCTAACTGAGGTCGCCAGCCCTTTACTACACATGTGTTGTGATGATCAGGTGAGTGAGTGGCTGGGGAATTGCGTTGTCTGTCAGCTTACAATGGCGCTCAGGTGAGTAGAGGCTGCGATGGCGTGTGCAGCTGTGTCTGCTCTGGTCACAGACCCTGTGGGGCAGGATCATTGTTTGGAGATGCGGGCAGGCCTGAGCACCTGCAGGCCCCCGCTCCCCGGTGTGACAAGACACTAACCTCAGAGGCTGACCGGTGTCTGACTTGCCCGCTGGTGCAGTGGCTGTCCTCCCCTGGCTCCACTGGTATGGGAATGCCGTCTGGGCTCTCGGTGGGGCTGCGTGGGCTGGTGGCGAGCAGTGGTCTCGAAGTCTTGCTAAGTGGAGAAAGCGGGATGTGCTAGCGGAGAGCAGCGATGTGTGCCCCCGGGCTTCTCTGCCAATGCCAGGTACAGCAGGTGACCATGGGCTGCAGCATGCCACAGCGAGAGAGACGGTGTGCAGCCCTGTGCCTTCAGTTTAGATACGGGGGAACTGAGGCCCACGTGCCCGAGATACTAAGGGGGTCTTTTATTGGAATCCAGTAGCGTTGTCCTGATACTTATGCTGAGCGGGCGTCTGCCTCTGACTGCAGGTGTGGGTGCCCGTGGCCGGGATCCGGCCTCAGTTAGATGCGAGCAGAGGGGTTAGTTAGTATCTTGGTACATTCCGAGTGTCATTGAAATGTCTTGAACAAAAGGGAGTCAAGGCATGGCATGAACAGAACTTTGGCGGTGGAAATAAGCCCCAGGGGATGAAGGAACATGGACTAGTGCCGAGTGCTGGGTGAACACCTCATCTGCACCCCATCAGGCCCGGACCACCATTCCTCGCCAGACAGAGAAAACTCACGCTCTTTCTAAACCCCAGTTCACTCTCCCATCTCAGCCCCAGATCCCCGCGTGCCCGGGTCTGTGGCTCATTGTGCGTCCGGGATCCAGGACCCTGGGGCCTGAGCAGCTTTCCTGTTAGGGAGCCACAGATCCTCCTGGGCTGCTACTGAGAAAAAACTACTTTGCTTAGACAGGCATTTATTGTGTAAATTATATGCCTTGGCAGGCAACCTTTAAAAATCTATTTTTTCAACTTTTTTTCCTCTGTAATGGTTGGAAATTCAGATTCCAGTTAAGTTAATAATTATGAGGTTGAGCTTTTATAATGATTAAACTACAACTGTGGGTGTATTCACAGATCCGGAATAATTAAAACATGACATTCTTCTTGAACAAGAGAGTGTACTAAAAATCCTATTTCCTGGACAGAAATATCTTAGAGCGTGAGACATCTCATCACCCACTTACAGGAGCCCAGAGGAGATGGAAGAGGAGCCCCTGGGAAGGCTGGGAGTCATGGCTCCTGGCGGGGGCAGTGGGCAGCCCTTGAGCACTGGCAGGCGTCTGCCCTGGGTGCACTCAGGCACTGGCTAAGCGGTCGCCAACCTTTCGGACCTCACGGACCACCAGTTGGCGATCACTGCTCTAAGAGATGCTTGCAGACCTCCATGTGCTGGGTGGCCCCGTGGAGCACAGTTTAATGCATGCGTGTGGTGTCAGCATTAGGCAAGTGTGACACCAGAGCATATTTCTGTGTTGCACATTTCTGCCACGTGTGGCAGCGTGGAGTGGTCCCCATTTCCCAGGGCCTCTCCGGGACATGAGGGCCCTGCATTCCCCTGCGCGTGGCCACTGAGCTGACAGGGACGCTGTGCTGCCTTCATGGGTTTTGCTGTCACTAACGGGCTCCCCCTCTTTCTCTCTTTTCATGCCTAGGGAAGACCTAGGGTTCCGGTTCATATCCGAGCAGGTCAGCCACCACCCCCCTGTTAGTGCGTTTTACTCTGAAGGCCTCGGTCAGGACTTCCTGTTCCACGGCTCCATCTACCCGAAGCTCAAGTTCTGGGGGAAGAGCGTGGAAGCGGAGCCCCGGGGCACCATCACTCTGGAGCTTCTCAGGTGAGCCTTCTGGCCGGAGCCGCCTCCCTCCCCTCCGCTGTTTGTGGGAGGAAACTCTTCCCTGGGGCTCTGCTCTGGAGGGAGGGGCCGGGCTGCCCCCCTGTTAGTGCCCACCTGACATGCCCCAGGCGGCCTGGGCGTGCTCCCTCGTGGCCTGCGCACACTCCGGGCACTGTTGTAGCAGCGAAGACCCCACTCTGCAGCTCAGGACATGGTTTCTGAGCAGCCGGGAGTTGCGCAGGGTCATGCTGGGCTCCTGGGAGTTGGCGTCAGGACTTGGGCACACACCTGTTTCCCTGGCAGTTGGTGCTGACGTCCCTCAGAGCCGGGGATCCAAGGGGAGAAGCCACCAGGAGGGAGCCAGTGTCTTTTATGACCTGACCCAGAAATGACTCAACTATATCCTCCCCCACACTGTGCTGTTGGTCACACAGACCTGCCCTGCCGAGTGCAAGCGGGGTGAATTCCAGAGCTGCAGCAAGGGGCACCTTGGAGGATGCCCCACCCCTGTCCAGTCTAAATCTGCATGCCCCGATCTGATGTCGATAACACACTGCTAACGTAAAAAACGTTCAGCCTGTGAAGAGTGTTTGCAAGTTTATTTGAGCCAAACTGTGGACAATTGCAGGAAGCAGAACCTCCAGTGTGGAGACAGGGCTCTGGAGAACAGCGGGCTGCACCTTGTTCATGCATCACCGTCACAGGAGGGCGGGCTGGTCACAGGAACTCCATTGGTGGTGGGTGAGGGGGCGGGAGAAAGCACAGAGGGAAACCTCTGGGATTGGATAAGAAGTAAAATGATGGACACCTGCTTCTTTTACACAGGGGGTGCGGGATAGTTAATAATTAACTCCATGACAAGGGGGGTGGGGGGATTGGAGTTGTGCCTGTGCTCTGAGGGGTCCAGAAAAGGGAAATTACTCTGACCTTCTGGGATAGGTTGTCTGAGATGCAGAAAGACAACAGGCTCAGCTAAGGTGGAGATGGCCTCGTCAGGGAGGAGACTCACCTAGAACAGGACTTCGAACCGTCACTGCCTTTAGTTTAAAAAGTTTAATTTCAGACCATCCTGTGGTTACTGAGTTTGCAACACCACCATGCAGGCCTCCCTGAATTAGTCAGGTTAGCATGTGGCCTCTTTTCGTCCACACCTCAAAGCAAAAGCTCAAAAGCGGAGTCTGTAGCATCTGCAGAGCCATCACAGAGTCCAGGCCACAGTGGGGGAGGGAGGGGCTGTTCTGAGCTGCGGCAGCACCGTGGGGGAGCATTGGATGGAACCTGTTCCCTGTTGGCCCTGCCTGGCTGGCTGCCAGGGGTGCATGGGAACCTCGGGGAGCAGCTCTTCCGGGAGACTTCGCGGTGGGCTTCACTTTCCTGGAACGAGGCGGGTAGAGTTGAAAGGTTGCAAACCTTGTTGGTTCAGGTGTCTGGCTTCCAACTGGGAGATTCAAGGCATTGCAGATATTTGTCTCAAAATACCCTGCACCGAGCTATTGTCGCAGCCTCCCTGGGACACAGATCTGGCAATCCGCTCCCTTCATGTCCGGGGGGCCTTTTCTTCTGGGGTCGGGTCACGGGAGGATGAGGAACAAAAGGGAAGGTGTGTGCAGTGCTGTTGCAAACTGCAGACCACGCATCCCACTGGGAGCACCTGGCGGGAGGTGGTGGCTCTCACATCCTCACAGCAGAGCTCTTTGTCTCAGTCGCATTGATATCAAGTAGAAACCTTTGTTGTTGCTACAAAGGAAAGAAGAAATACATTTCAAACGAATGCTAAGTAAGGAGCCGCTGTTGGAGGGAGTTCAAAGCAGTGCTCTCTGCTGCGGGTATTAGGGCAATTACTCCCTGCTGCTGCTTTCCTCTGTCCCTACCGGTGTCTGCTGGCTCTGACAGGCATGCTTTCTGGTCTCTGACAGACACCAGGAGGCCTACACCTGGACCAACCCTACCTGCTGTGTGCACAACGTGATCATCGGGAAGCTCTGGATAGAGCAGTATGGCACGGTGGAGATCCTAAACCACAGGTACCGCACACTGGGTGGCCCACACACTGTCCTGGAGGCTGGCTATGATCTCGGGACTCGCTTTCACTCTGCTCTGCACTGCCCCTCACTGTCCATCTCGCTGTCCAGACGGAGCCCCGGGCCCGCGTTGGTGGGAATTGGTTCTGGTGAGCGTGAGGCACCGTTCACGCTCTGTGTTGAAAGTTTTCTTTCTAATCACAAGTTAACTTATTTTGAAATTTTTAAAAATATATTTTATTGATTTTTTTTACAGAGAGGAAGAGAGAGGGGTAGAGAGTTAGAAACATCGATGAGAGAGAATCATCGATCAGCTGCCTCTTGCACACTTCCTACTGGGGATGTGCACATGCCCTTGACCGGAATTGAACCTGGGACCTTTCAGACCGCAGGCAGATGCTCTATCCACTGAGCCAAATCGGTTTCGTCTTAGTTTGCAATTTTAAACAATACCGTGATCATCCTCTGTCCTGTCCACACTGCGGCCTGTCATTCCTTCTTCCTGGACATCCTTGACACCAGTTCTGTTTTCCACAACCTCATTGAGATGTAATTCACATGTCATAAAGTCCACCCAGTAAAAGTGGGCACCTAAGGATAGAGTGATATGTACTAAGTACTGGACTGTGCAGCTGTCCCCGCGGGCACTGCTGGGGCCTTCCCGTCACCCTGGAAAGGTCCCTGTGCCCTTGGCTGTCACTGCCCAGCCCCAGGCAGCCTCTGCTCTCCTTCCTTTCCTGTCTCCTTCCCTCCCTCCCTCTCCCCTCTTGCTTCCCCTCCCTCTCCCTCTCCCACTCCTGTTCTTGCTCTTCCTCTCTCACCTTGTCTCCCGCTCTTTCATCTTTCTGGACGGCTCAAGTCCCACAACCGAGGCCTGTGCTTCTCCCGCAGGACTGGAGACAAATGTGTGCTCCACTTCAGACCATGCGGGCTGTTTGGAAAAGAGCTTCACAAAGTGGAAGGACACATTCAAGACAAAAAGTAGGTCCGCGTGCGGGTTGGCTCAGAGAGCATGTGTGCGCTTCAAAGGTCATTAAACAATGATGTCTGTTCAGGGCAGGAAAAATTAAGACCCTTTTGTACCCATTCTTTACTTAGAAAACCATTTCATGATTGAGCATAACAGGAGGTAAAAACAGCTTTAGCGTCACTTCAAGGGTGGGGAGTGGCTGGGCCATGTGGACACACGGAAGCAGGAGGGCTCCTGAGATGCTGCTGCAGGTTTGCAGACCGCGCGGCTGGGAGTCTGACCCCATGTCCTCCCGCACCGTGCGTGCAGGCGGCCGGGGAGGCTCGCGTGGCTCCGTGAGCTCTGCCTGCACGGCGCTGGTTCTGCCCGGTCCGCAAAGGGGGAAGTTTAAAGGCTTTAGCAGAGAAATGGTTAGTATCGTTTTAACACATTTTCTGAGTTTTCCCCTCTTTGGTTTAGTAAACTCATTTTGGGTCTTAATTTTCTCATTTCCCCCATAAGCAATTTGGGCCATGTAATGGCCAAGACTCCTTTCTGCTCCCTGAATCTGTCCCCTCCCTGAATCTTGCTCAGTAGAAACAAGCTCCTGCGGGGAGCAGGCCTTCTGCCCAGTCCCACTCAGCCTGGGAACCACTGTTCCTGCACCCTCAGGACAGCAGCCTCTCCCCGGAGGTCCAGCGCCCATTGGTCTGGTTTTGTTTTCCACCCAAACTCGAGTGAGCGGTTCCTGACGCTGGCCTGTTAGTGACAGTGCGCGTCCATCGAGCCGTGTCTCCTGAGAGGGGTGCCGCCTCCAGGATGGGCCTCTTGAGGACGGGTGCCCGGCCCTCCCAGGAACTCGGGGCCCATGTGTTCTCCCAGAGGCTGCACAGGAACCGCCCGGCGTTGGCTCTGCTCCTTCGGGAGCCAGCAGGAGGCCCGTCTGGGAAGGGCCCAGAGGTGGTTACTGCCTGAGGAAGCAGGTGGCAGAAGGACACGGAATCGCCTGGCAGTGTGCCTGGAGAATAAAGCACGCTCAGCAGGAGGAGGCCTGTCCCGGGGTTGATAGAGAAAGGGCTTGAAGTCAGCGTGCTTACGGGGGGTTACATCTGAGCATGGCCTCTTCGCCTGTCTCCACCCTCATCCACCCCGTTAGCTCTTGGCCTTCCCTCTTCCTTCCTTTGGTATTCGGTATTAGGACCATCAGTGTCGAATGGCAGAGCAGAGATCCTAAACTGCAAGTTTTCCTCTTTGCGTTTTTGTGCAGAGGTAGCCTAAGATTGTAAGAGGACAGCCAGGCAGGACTGACGCCGCGGTGGAAGGGGTGCTGCACTGGGATGGGTGGTCTGTCTGAGCCTGGCTTCCAAACCCCTTGGTTCCAGCAAGAAGAAGCTCTTCATCATCTACGGCAAGTGGACGGAGTGTCTGTGGGGCATAGACCCTGCGGCGTATGAGTCCTTCCGGAAGCAGGAGCGGAGGGGGGAGACCCCGAGGAAGTCACAGTTGGTAAGGCACTGCCCGGCTCCTACCCCACTCCGGCTCCTGACCCTGCTCCCACCCCGCTCCCGCCCCACTCCCGCCCCCTTCTGGCCCCACTCCTGCCCCTGCTCCTGCCCCGCTCCTGCCCTGCTCCCGCCCCCCTCCTGCCCCGCTCCCACCCCGCTCCCGCCCCACTCCCGCCCCCTTCTGGCCCCACTCCTGCCCCTGCTCCTGCCCCGCTCCTGCCCTGCTCCCGCCCCCCTCCTGCCCCGCTCCCGCCCCGCTCCCGCCCCGCTCCCGCCCTGCTCCTGCCCCGCTCCCCTTGCCATTCCTGCCCCGCTCCTAGCACTGCTTGGCAGAGACTCTGGGAACCGGCCGTGACCCCCAGCAGGGCCCTGTGGGAAGACGAGGCACAGAACCTGCTGCCAGTGAAGCTGCTACTGTGGGCCTCTGGGTCGGGAGGGTGTATCTGCACTCTGACAGCGGGAGGGCTCAGGTCCTGTGTCACAGTGTCTGTCTGTCCCCCGAGTCAAGCAAAGTAGAACCAAGCGCTTCCATTTCCTTCTGGAAATACCATGTTCTGGATGCCTCTTAACAAACCTCCTGTCTGCCTGCCCTGTCAGTTTAGACCTGTTCAGGCGAGTGAGCGTCCTCTGCCTTTTCAGTTTTGAGTCCAGAAGACGCCCACAGCCAGGGCTGTGCCAGGCAGGGGGCTTCTCCCGGGAGCCTGCATCCCGCTGGCCTAAGGCCTCGGAGCTGGACCTGGAAAGGCGCCCCGTGTTCTAGATGACACGCCCCTCTCAGGCGGCACAGGCCTTCCCGGCTGCTCCGTGTCTTCATGTGGTAGTTCCCATGTGCCGGCAGTGTGGCTTCCATGACCTGTGTCACTCAGAGAAATTAAATTCCACTTAGAGACTGTGCAGACCGGCGTGTTAGACCCTGGCTGATGCTTTCGGTGTGCACTGAGCTTCGCTGTCCTGGGCAGCCTGGAGGGGACAGAGTGAGGTTTAGCTCTGGACCTCTCCGTGTGCCTGCTGTCAGGTGGCGGCCCTTAAACTGCGTGGGTCACATGGGCACTTGTCACACCAGCACACTGTCCCCAGCAGCTGCGTGAATAACCACCGCTCCATCTCCAGGCCCCCTCGGGTTGGAAAGGTAGCCGCAGGTGGCATATCTCTGTAAAGGGTTTGGTCTCCAGTGGGGTGGAGTCTAGAAGTGCTGGGATATCGCGCCATCACCCATCTGGACCACGTCCTTATTGAGGACAGCACGGAGGGAAGTGCTCCTCTCAGAAATGGCCAGCTACCTCAGGCCTCAGGCCTCCCCTTAGCTTAGATGAATGTGCTCTTGATGGTGCCAGTTCCTCCTTTCATGGTGCCTGACTCCCAGGAGGACAGCCGTGCCTGCCACTGACTCCGCACCCTGTGTTCGGGGCCCCTGTGCAGGAGCCTGTGCAGGGGGAGGGGAGCCCGGCCTGTAGGCCACAGCGGGGCAGCGGCGGCTCCTTCTTCATCGTGCTCTGCGTGGGCTCAGAATGGGGTGAAAGACACCCAAGGGCCACTCCCTCCGGCTGCCGACCAGCGTGCTCTGTGTTTCAGGCCATTGGCGTGGAGGACGCTGACACTGAAGTGGACGCCGTGCCTGAGGTCCAGGACACTGTGCAGGTCATTCCAGGCAGCAGGCTCCTCTGGAGGATTAACACTCGGCCCCCCAACTCTGCCCAGGTCAGTGCTTCCGCCTACCTGCCCTTCTAGCCCCATGTGCACACCAGCTACCTCAGGCCTCTGTCCCAGAGCAGACAGAGGACCCTCCATCCCCTGATCAGGCTGAGCTCAGTGTGAGCCTCCGAGGACTTTCTGTCCCGCAGAACCTTCAGCGACACAGCAATGCTCTGTCTACATGAGTCGTGGCATGTTGACACAGAATTGGCACGCGTGTCTGCACACATCACAGTATCACAGTGGCCCCGGATTCTCCTGGGTAGAGGTGCCTCGAGACACACCATGTACCCTGGAAGGTCTATACAACCACATCTTACCCAAAGGGGTTTCCAGAGTGGCTTGCAGGGGTTGTTTTCCCAGCGAGTCAATTTAAATGCTTCAGTGCATTTTGACATTTATTTTTGAAAATTAAACTTACAATTTCTATTACATATAAATTTGTTGCATACAATAATATATATGAAAATACATAATAAATATAACATTATGTAATAAATTATATAGTATTTTTCATATTCTGAATTAGAATAAATATACAATGTATTATAATTTTTTATTGTATTACCATGTCCAATAACATAGCAGAGCATGTAAAAAATAAGCCACTCATCCCAGAGATGTTGGGGAGTCAGACCTACAAGTTGGGCATCAAGTGGGGTGGCCTGGAGGAGCCCGAGGCTGGTGCGTCTCAGGCCCAGGAAGGAGCCCTGCCCCTGTGTGATCCTGACGGGGACGTCTCCGGGGAGCGTGTCTGCGGCTCCAGAGTGGGCGGTGCCGTCACAGATTTCTCTGTCCTCAGATGTATAACTTCACCAGTTTCACTGTTAGTCTCAACGAACTGCAGACGGGCATGGAGAAGATCCTGGCTCCCACAGACTGCCGCCTGCGTCCCGACATCCGAAGCATGGAGAACGGCAACATGGGTGCGTGCCTGAGCACTGGGCAGTTGGGTGGCCGCCTGGGGACGGCACAGCACGCGGACTGCCAGCATGCCTGTTTCAGAGGCCAGCCTGTAGGAGACCAGTCCCTTTGTAAATAACAGTAAGGTTAAGTTACTAGAAAGATGCGATGAAGAGGCATACACACCAGTCAAGTCCCAGTCCTCGATTCTTAGGTACGGTACAGGCTGCCTTTCAGAACCGCATGCTGGTCGATAAAGTCCCCACGGCTGTCGTGTGGGCCCTGCTGCAGGTGGGATGCGACAGTCCTGAGTCTGGCACCTGGCGGCACACGCTGGGTGACCGCTGGAGGGCGGCAGGCGGGGTCAGTGTGATGAGCGGCTGCCTCCTGCTCACCACGCATTGCTCTGAGCGAGGGCAGCAGCACTCCCGGTGCCTATGCAGGGTGCGCCTGCTACGGTTTGTGGGTCAGCAAATTGCTCAGGGACGTGTGTGGAGGGCAGGGCGGTGGGTGGGCACCTGTGGTCGGGTCCTCAGTCCTTGGGACAGCACAGCCACTGACCTGAGGGTTAAGGTTGAAGTAACCGTCGGTGCGAAGGAAGTGGCTCCAGGGTGGGACCCATGCCAGGGCTCTACTGACATTGCCCCTGTGGGTGACATGGCCCAGGAGCTGAGCACCTGCCCCGGGACCCATTGTGCTTCGACGTCCCAGGCCAAGGCCTTTGGGTTTTGTTTCCTGACGACAGTTCCTCTCCATGGTTCTCGACGGTGACCAGGAGCGTCACTGTCCACCTGATTCCTCACCCAGCCGTGTGCTTGGGCCTAGATCTGGCGAGCCAGGAGAAGGAGCGGCTGGAGGAGAAGCAGAGGGAAGCCCGGAAGGAGCGAGCCAAGGAGGACACGGAGTGGCAGACAAGGTGAGGCCCTGCGTGGATGAGGGGACAGTGAGGAGGCCCACACACCTGGGACAGTGAGGAGGACTACACACACCTGGGCACAGTGAGGAGGATTACACACACCTGGGACAGTGAGGAGGACCACACACACCTGGGCACAGTGAGGAGGACTACACACCTGGGACAGTGAGGAGGACACACACCTGGGACAGTGAGGAGGACACACACCTGGGACAGTGAGGAGGACCACATACCTGGGACAGTGAGGAGGACCACACACCTGGGACAATGAGGAGGACCACACACCTGGGACAGTGAGGAGGATTACACATACCTGGGACAGTGAGGAGGCCCACACACCTGGGACAGTGAGGAGGACTACACCTGGGGACAGTGAGGAGAATTACACACACCTGTGACAGTGAGGAGAATTACACACACCTGTGACAGTGAGGAGGACCACACACCTGGGACAGTGAGGAGGATTACACACACCTGGGACAGTGAGGAGGACCACACCTGGGACAGTGAGGAGGACCACACACCTGGGACAGTGAGGAGGATTACACACACTTGGGACAGTGAGGAGAACCACACACCTGGGACAGTGAGGAGGACACACACCTGGGACAGTGAGGAGGACTACACACCTGGGACAGTGAGGAGGACCACACACCTGGGACAGTGAGGAGGACCACAAACACCTGGGACAGTGAGGAGGACCATACACACCTGGGACAGTGAGGAGGATTACACACACCTGGGGACAGTGAGGAGGATTACACACCTGGGACAGTGAGGAGAACTACACACCTGGGACAGTGAGGAGGACCACACACCTGGGACAGTGAGGAGGACACACACCGGGGACAGTGAGGAGGACTACACACCTGGGACAGTGAGGAGGACCACACACCTGGGACAGTGAGGAGGACTACACACACCTGGGACAGTGAGGAGGACACACACCTGGGACAGTGAGGAGGACTACACACCTGGGCACAGTGAGGAGGCCCACACACCTGGGACAGTGAGGAGAATTACACACACCTGGGACAGTGAGGAGGACCACACGCCTGGGCACAGTGAGGAGGCCCACACACCTGGGACAGTGAGGAGGACACACACCTGGGACAGTGAGGAGGATTACACACACCTGGGACAGTGAGGAGGACCACAAACACCTGGGACAGTGAGGAGGACCACACACACCTGGGACAGTGAGGAGAACTACACACCTGGGACAGTGAGGAGGACACACACCGGGGACAGTGAGGAGGACTACACACCTGGGACAGTGAGGAGGACCACACACCTGGGACAGTGAGGAAAACTACACACACCTGGGACAGTGAGGAGGACTACACACCTGGGCACAGTGAGGAGGCCCACACACCTGGGACAGTGAGGAGGACCACACACCTGGGCACAGTGAGGAGGCCCACACACCTGGGACAGTGAGGAGAATTACACACACCTGGGACAGTGAGGAGGACTACACACACCTGGGACAGTGAGGAGGACACACACCTGGGACAGTGAGGAGGACTACACACCTGGGCACAGTGAGGAGGCCCACACACCTGGGACAGTGAAGAGAATTACACACACCTGGGACAGTGAGGAGGACCACACACCTGGGCACAGTGAGGAGGCCCACACACCTGGGACAGTGAGGAGGACTACACACACCTGGGACAGTGAGGAGGACACACACCTGGGACAGTGAGGAGGACCACACACCTGGGCACAGTGAGGAGGCCCACACACCTGGGACAGTGAAGAGAATTACACACACCTGGGACAGTGAGGAGGACCACACACCTGGGCACAGTGAGGAGGCCCACACACCTGGGACAGTGAGGAGGACTACACACACCTGGGACAGTGAGGAGGACACACACCTGGGACAGTGAGGAGGACCACACACCTGGGCACAGTGAGGAGGCCCACACACCTGGGACAGTGAGGAGGACACACACCTGGGACAGTGAGGAGGATTACACACACCTGGGACAGTGAGGAGGACCACACGCCTGGGCACAGTGAGGAGGCCCACACACCTGGGACAGTGAGGAGGACACACACCTGGGACAGTGAGGAGGATTACACACACCTGGGACAGTGAGGAGGACCACAAACACCTGGGACAGTGAGGAGGACCACACACACCTGGGACAGTGAGGAGAACTACACACCTGGGACAGTGAGGAGGACACACACCGGGGACAGTGAGGAGGACTACACACCTGGGACAGTGAGGAGGACCACACACCTGGGACAGTGAGGAAAACTACACACACCTGGGACAGTGAGGAGGACTACACACCTGGGCACAGTGAGGAGGCCCACACACCTGGGACAGTGAGGAGGACCACACACCTGGGCACAGTGAGGAGGCCCACACACCTGGGACAGTGAGGAGAATTACACACACCTGGGACAGTGAGGAGGACTACACACACCTGGGACAGTGAGGAGGACACACACCTGGGACAGTGAGGAGGACTACACACCTGGGCACAGTGAGGAGGCCCACACACCTGGGACAGTGAAGAGAATTACACACACCTGGGACAGTGAGGAGGACCACACACCTGGGCACAGTGAGGAGGCCCACACACCTGGGACAGTGAGGAGGACTACACACACCTGGGACAGTGAGGAGGACACACACCTGGGACAGTGAGGAGGACCACACACCTGGGCACAGTGAGGAGGCCCACACACCTGGGACAGTGAAGAGAATTACACACACCTGGGACAGTGAGGAGGACCACACACCTGGGCACAGTGAGGAGGCCCACACACCTGGGACAGTGAGGAGGACTACACACACCTGGGACAGTGAGGAGGACACACACCTGGGACAGTGAGGAGGACCACACACCTGGGCACAGTGAGGAGGCCCACACACCTGGGACAGTGAGGAGGACACACACCTGGGACAGTGAGGAGGATTACACACACCTGGGACAGTGAGGAGGACCACACGCCTGGGCACAGTGAGGAGGCCCACACACCTGGGACAGTGAGGAGGACACACACCTGGGACAGTGAGGAGGATTACACACACCTGGGACAGTGAGGAGGACCACAAACACCTGGGACAGTGAGGAGGACCACACACACCTGGGACAGTGAGGAGAACTACACACCTGGGACAGTGAGGAGGACACACACCAGGGACAGTGAGGAGGACTACACACCTGGGACAGTGAGGAGGACCACACACCTGGGACAGTGAGGAAAACTACACACACCTGGGACAGTGAGGAGAATTACACACACCTGGGACAGTGAGGAGGACTACACACCTGGGCACAGTGAGGAGGCCCACACACCTGGGACAGTGAGGAGGACCACACACCTGGGCACAGTGAGGAGGCCCACACACCTGGGACAATGAGGAGAATTACACACACCTGGGACAGTGAGGAGGACTACACACACCTGGGACAGTGAGGAGGACACACACCTGGGACAGTGAGGAGGACTACACACCTGGGCACAGTGAGGAGGCCCACACACCTGGGACAGTGAAGAGAATTACACACACCTGGGACAGTGAGGAGGACCACACACCTGGGCACAGTGAGGAGGCCCACACACCTGGGACAGTGAGGAGGACTACACACACCTGGGACAGTGAGGAGGACACACACCTGGGACAGTGAGGAGGACCACACACCTGGGCACAGTGAGGAGGCCCACACACCTGGGACAGTGAGGAGGACACACACCTGGGACAGTGAGGAGGATTACACACACCTGGGCACAGTGAGGAGGACCACACACCTGGGCACAGTGAGGAGGCCCACACACCTGGGACAGTGAGGAGGACACACACCTGGGACAGTGAGGAGGATTACACACACCTGGGCACAGTGAGGAGGACTACACACCTGTGGCTGAGAAGTCATCTCTGCTTCGGCTCCTTGTCCAGGCTGTACCCACCACGCTGATAGGCTGATGCTCCCAAAAGTAGTGCCACCTGCTGGAGTGAGACAGGTCACCTGGGACCGGCCTCCCATTCCTTGCCCCTGTATATTTGACCCTGAGCACTTTTTAAGTATGGTAAATTAAAAAGGCAACGTAGCCAGAGCCAACCCACTAACTGAGGGGAAACACAGTTCTCAGAGAAGAGGTACTGTGCGCCCAGAAGCCCCCAGGTGCTGCTAGGAGTGGTGCGCTATTCCCACATGTTCCCCATCCATATGATACGGCACCCCAGAGGCCGTGATGGGAGCGGGCTGGCTGTCTTTCCCCTGCCTGGGAGCACTCATCCCATGAACATGTGAGTGGAGTGCACATGTGTGTGCCTGCACAGGCCTTGACCCAGAGGAGTATCTCAAATTAGTTGTCATTTGTTCTTTTATAGTCATAACTAGATGCCTGGTGCATGAAATTCATGCAAGGCCTTCCCCTAGTGCCAGCACTGGCTTCCCTCTGACACCTCGGACCCAGGCTTCCCTCCGGCTGCTACCAGCCTTGGCTTGGTCGGAAGGATGTCTGCTCTAATAAACATATTACACTTTTATTATTATAGATGTGACAACAGTCCACTTAATAAGGACTTGGTTAAGTACTGTAATGTTTAAACAAAATTTAAAGGTACATGTAAGCTTCAGTTGTAGTCTTAGAAAACTGGGGGTTCTGAGTTGTCAACCAGGATATTTTTGCCTGTCGTGTTCAGGGCCCAGTGAAGTCACCTGGTGACTTTTATGTGACTATCATTTTTAAAACTAACTTTCAAAGGTTGGGCTTCCTATTTAATATTATGCTCTTAACTACAGGCCTGGTGCATTAAATCCCCCCCCGCCCCCACCCCCCACCCCCGTGCATGAAATTTGTGCACTCGGGGTGGGGGTGTCCCTTAGCCTGGATTGCGAGAGGGTGCAGGCCAAGCCAAGGGACCCCATTGGTGCACGATTTGGGCCAGGGAGGGACGTGGGAGGTTGGCCAGCAAAGGAGGGACCACAGGAGGGCTCCAGGGCATGTTTGGCCATCTTGCTCAGTCCTGATTAGCTGGACTTCAGTAGCAATATAACATACCAGTCAGAGCATCTGCCCCCTGGTGGTTAGTGCAATGTCATAGTGATTGGCCAACTGCTCGACTGTCTGCCCCTGGTGGTCAGTGCATGTCATAGCAAGCGGTTGAGTGTCCTTAGCATATCAATAGCATATTACACTTTGATTGGTTGAATGGCCAACTGGACGACAGGACTCTTAGCATATTGGGCTTTTATTGTATAGGACTAGTGGCCCTATGCATGAAATTTGTGCACGGGGTTGGGGGTGTCCCTCAGCCTAGCCTGCACCCTCTCCAATCTGGGACTTCTTGGGGCATGTCCGACTGCTTTTTTAGACCTGATCATTGTGGGAGCAAGCCTAAACTGGCAGTCAGACATCCCTCTCACAATCCGAGACAACTGGCTCCCAACCACTTGCCTGCCTGCCTGATTGCCCCTAACCACTCCCCTGCCAGCCTTATTGATGCCTAAATGCTCCCCTGCCAGCCCAATTGCCCCCAACTGCTCTCCCCTGCTGGCCTGATCACCCCAACTGCCCTCCCCTGCTGGCCTGGTTGCCCCCAACTATCGTCCCTGCCCACCTGGTTGCCCCTAACTGCCCTTCCCTGCAGGACTGGTCACCCCCAACTGCCCTCCCCTGCAACCTGGTCTCCACACCCTCAATTGCCCTCCCCTGCAGGCGTGGTCCCCACATCCCCACCTGCCCTCTTGTGCAAGCCTGGTTGCCCCCAACTGGCCTTCCCTGCTGCCTGGTCCCCCCCAACTGCCCTCCACTGCTAGCCTGGTCCCCCCCAACAGGTCTCCCCTGCTGCCTGTTCCTCCCTCTCCCCCCAACTGCCCTACCCTGCAGGCCTGGTCCCCACATTTCCAACTTCCCTCTCCTGCAAGCCTGTTTGCCCCCAACTGGTTTCCCCTGCTGGCCTGGTTGCCCTCAACTTCCCTCCCCTGCTGGCCTGGTCACCTCCAACTGCCTTCCCCTGACAGCCTGGTCTCCACCAGCTGCCCTCACCTGCAGGCCTGATCGCCCACAACTGTCCTTCCCTACCGGCCATCTTATGGCAGCCATCTTGTGACCATATGGGGGTGGCCATCTTATGGAAGCGTGTGATGGTCAATTTGCATATTACATCTTTACTATATAGGATAGTTTGATATGTGGAATTTGCTGTTTCAGAAAACGATAGTTTGAAAATAGTGTTTCTACATTGTATTTTTTTTATTGTGAAAATAATGACTTTTTATCTTGAGAAGACAATTACTTCTGCCTCGCGAATCCTCCACACCTGCTCCCGCTTCTCTCCACCACTCAGAGGCCAAGGGTGGGTGACGGATGTGCTGGGAGCCTGAGGGAGGCTAATGACAGTGACTGGTTTGGCTCGTAGACAAGCTGGAGGCCATTGAGACCCTCTCTGTCCTTGTTCCCGCCCCTCCCAGTTAACAGGCCGTGCAGACCTGGCCATCTCGAAAGGATGGAAATAGCACTGTCACTGTTCTCACTGGAAGGCACAAAGTGGCTTGGGGTTCAGCGCCCCTTCTCTGGTGATGGCCCCGCCTGAGTGTTTCCTGTTAACTCCACGAGGTTTGTCAGGAAGTGAGGCTGACATTGGGATGTGTGCAGGGGAGTGTAGTTGTGAAAATGTGATTACTAAGCCCGAGTTGAAGTGGCTGCCTTTAGCAACGCACGTTTCTGGGTGATGGCTAATTAGAGGATTCTCTGTCCTGCCCCGAGGCCGCAGCAGTTTCTGCCCAGCCATCCCTGAGCCTCTTCTGTGTTGCAGGTGGTTCCACCAGGGCAGGAATCCGCACACCGGGACCCCCGACTGGCTGTACTCAGGTGGCTACTTCGAGCGGGATTTCTCAGGCTGCCCGGACATCTACTGAGGTCAGGGAGTGCCCCAGGACCCGGGCCTCTGCCAGCTGGACTCCGCCACGTGGCTCCTCGAGTTCCGGGTACGGCAGCACCGGCCTTTCTAAGCACTGTGTTCACGGAGAAAGCACCATCCTGGCTGAGGACTCGATCCTAATTAACTTTTGATTGCCAACCATTCATTATCGTTGCTGTCTCTCCATAAAGCTTCCCTTGGGATCATCATGTTTTCATTAAAACTTGGAAAGGAACATTCTTCCAACTCCTATGTGACAGGTCAGCTGGGGCATGCTCACCCGACAGCAGCCTGGATAAGTTTGAAACTAGCGCAAGGAACAGGAAGGAGGGACCGTGTTCCTCCTTAGAATGCAGTATCAGTGTCCAAAAGTAGTTTAAAATGGAACAGAAAAGACAGATCTTGAAACTAACCCTGCAGCGAGCTCTCTGCGGCTAGGAACTGCTGTCTGTGTTGGGAACAGAATGAGTGTTTCAGAGCATTGGATTAAATGAAATGGTCGCTGTCAGGTTCTGTGTGTTTTTGCCAACCTTCAGTGATGTAAAGATAACTTTTAAATATTTAAGTTAAAGCTGCTTGACTAGGATTTGCTGAAGAGCAAGACATGCATTAATTGCCAACTGTATATGCAACGGAAGCATTGCCATGACAGGGTCCAGAAGCACTGCAAGTTGTTGACCAAGTGCCCAGACGGCTCCCCGCCTTGAAGGGAGCCCTGCCTCTGGCCGTGTTCTCTGGTCGCCAGGGCTGCACTGTCACTGCGGGCCAAACCCATGTTCAAACGAGCCACTCGTTAAACGTTTGGTCTGTCACCACAGCACTGTGTCCTTGTTTTCCCAGCATGCATGTTTGAAACTCAGGAGACAGGAGGCCACACCTGGTGTGCACTGGGGGTCAGAGCAGAGGCTACTGAAGGTGAATTGGGTTATTTTACAGAACACAGGTGTACATTCATCTCTGCACATGTCCTGATCAGGTGACTTACTTTCTATAGAAATATCAACACGTAGATCATGGTACCACTCTCTGTATGGAGGACAATCTGCTGCATACAGGCGCGCACACACAAACACACATGTGCACACCCACATGTGTGCACATGTACACATGCACACACATGGAGTGGTGGGTTCCCTCTGAGAGGGTGTCACTTTTGTGTGTCCAGGCTTCAGAATCACATTTGTAATTAAAACTCTTTTGAAAGCCAAGACTTGCTCTGAAGACTTGATTTTGTAGCTTTGCACCTGGAAGCCCCGTGTTGTAACGGAGTCCTGGGCCCGTTTTCCTGAGAGTCCCCGGGAGTCGGCTCTGCAGACAGCTCAACCTCGAGGAGCGTGTGTTGTGTAAAGTGTATATGATGGGAAGGGACCCACTGGTGCCAGAGAGCTAATGGGGAGCTCAGTGTTGGGGCTGGATGGTTGCATCCGGTGCCTTGGGTGGTGCAGCTCTCTCCCAGGAGAGGTGCTGCCGTCCCAGAGGGGGAGGGTCAAGGTCAGGGTGTCACTGGGACCTCGGATTTCAACATCAGGCGCGGCCTATTTCTGAGAAGGCCTTGGAGAAGCAGGGCTGGTCCCTCACGGGCATCACAGCACTTTGCCACTTGGGGCTGCTTGTCTGTGTTGCTTCTCTGGACACGTGCTCTCAGCAGGGAAGTGCCGTGCGAGACTGAGCCGGCACAGCCCTTCTCGTGGAATGGCAGAGGCCCGGGAGGGCCCCATGGTGGTCCTGGCCCCATCTCCCTCTCAGACTGTCCCCAAGGCTCATGCCGTTGGGCTTGAGGAAGGGTCAGCTGGCAGAGGGGCCGCACACCTGGTCCAACCCCGCACTCTGGAGATGGGCCACGTGCAGCCTGGTGGGCTTGGGGCTGCCGGGAGACATGCTGAGGATGCAGCGGACAGGCTGCCTGCATGCTGGGTCCTTGTTGGGTCACCAGATCAGCACCTGGGACAGGATGAGAGAAACGCTGTGGGAGGCTCCCACAAGCCTGCCACCTCCGGGCAGCCTGGTGAGACGCTTCCTTAGGACACCAGCTCTGGGGAGAGTGCTCCTAACGGAGGTGGTGGCTCACAAACTTCACGGGCCTCACATGTGCGTGAGGAACAAGGAGATAAAGATGGTTAAAAATGCTAAGATCCAAAATTCAGAAGCACTGGCAGCCTTATCCTTGGAGGGGTGGGTAGTGAAGAGCTGTGTCCTGCATGGGACAGCTGGACCCAAGGAGAGTGGAATCAATAGTTCCTACTAGTTCTGGTTGCTCCCCTCCCAACGTTTGGACTTACAAGCATCTTTCGAGGGATCTTGCTGTGTCCAGTGGTACAAAGGTTTGGTCCCTAGTGAGAGCGTGTAACCTCTGGTTGAGTCTCTGGGCACATCCGCTGGTGGCTTCCCCGTGTGTGCAACCCCTCCGCCTCACTGTCTCCTCCATCTTCAAGTGAGGAGGGCCCTGCAAAATGAGTGTCCTTGGGTTGAGTTTACTCGACAGTCATTCCCTTGCTGGATACACGGCTCCTTCCCTGTTTGAGAACCAAACTGTCCTGGGTCAAAGGTTTGGAAGGTGCTGCGTGGTCCCTGCAGGGTGACAACACGCAGATTGGGTCCTTCCTCCCTCTTGGTGCCTTGAACTGGGCTGGTCTCCATGCTCCCCTGGCGCTGCAGCACGCCAGCACGCTGTGATGGGCTCGTTTTATAGCCCCTAGCAAATCTCATAGGGTTTTGGGAGGACTGGAACTGACCTGTGAAGACCCAAGTTAAACCTTGGCTGTGGATAGCGGTCCTTTAAGAATGGCTGTTGCTGACATTTTTGCACTGAGCAGTTTTCACCGTCTCAGTCCTCTGGCCCCTTGGAAAGGACTGCAGACGAGCCCTTGTGCCGGGTGCAGGTTGGGACTCTGCGTTCTGAAGGGTGGGCCCAGCAAACGGACTGCTCCAGAAGACTGCTGGCATGGAGAAGGGCACCAGGGATGCTGTGGCACCCTGGGAGGGCGCATGTAGTGGGTGGGGGTTTGGGTCTTTGAGTGGCGGGAGTTCTGATTGAGTCTCTCCTCTCCAGGCATTGGAAATTGAAGCAACTAAATGCCCAGAGTACTGTTACTTTGACTCCAGGGTCCCCACCATTTGACCACTGCCCTAGGTGCCCAGCAGCTTTGTGCTTCCTGGGAGGTTGAGCTGAGTGGGGACACTCATGCCAACAGCCAAGAAGGCTCTGGGCAGAGGGACAGTTGTAGGTGTGAGTGCTCGCAGAATGCTCAGGTTCACAGGTCTGGGCCATTGCCACAAGCATCACATCTGATGATGGGGCCACAGAGCACCCAGCCCGAGGAGCCCAAGCCTGGTGCCACAGTGCTATAACTCCCCACAGGTCAACCCAGGCCACAGGAAAGGGAGGTGCAGGAAGGTGCGCATGCCCCACCTTTCACAGCAGATAAGTGGAGGAAGTGGCTTCAAGCCCTACACACAATGAAACCATGTGTGCAGTTGTACAAAGTCACACTGTCTTGTAACCACCACTGTGTCAATATATACATTATGATGATCTCTGAATGCATAATAATCTGGCCACTCAGTGTATATCCTATATAATAAAAGGCTAATATGCAGATTCAACCAGCAGGCAGGCTGGCCAACCACCCATGTCCTTTCCCCTGGCCAGGTTGGCCAGATTCCATTCATGTACGAATTCATACACCGGGCCTCTAATCCTATATAATAAAGTGGTGATATGCAAATTGACCATCACTCCAACACACAAGATGGCCGCCCCCATATGGACACGAGTGCTGGCAGGGAAGGGCAGGTGGGGCGATCAGGCCTGCATGGGAGGACAGCTAGGGGGGGACCCAGGCCTGCAGGGGAGGGAAATTGGGAGTTACCAGGCCAGCAAGAGAGAGCAGTTAGGGGCATTCAGGTTGGCAGGGGAGGGCAGTTAGGGGCAACTAGGCCTGCAAGAGAGGGCAGTTAGGGGCAATCAGCCAGCAGGGGAGGGAAGTTAGGGGAGACCGGGCTGGCGAGGGAGGGCAATTAGCAGTGACCAGGCCAGCAGGGGAGGGCAGTTGAGGCAAATAGGCCTGCAGGGGAGGACAGTTAAGGGCAACCAGGCTGGCAGGGGAGGGCAGTTAGCAGTGACCAGGCCAGCAGGGGAAGGCAGTTAGTGATGACCAGGCCAGCAGGGGAGTGCAGTTAGGGGCAACTGGGCCAGCAGGGGAACAGTTAGTTGTTGATCAGGCTGGCAGGGGAGTGATTAGAGGTGATCAGGCTGACAGGCAGAAGCAGTTAGGGGCAATAAGGCAGGCAGGCAGGTAAGTGGTTGGGAGCCAGCAGTCCTGGATTGTGAGAGGGATGTCCCAGATTGGAGAGGGTGCAGCATGGACTGAATTTTGTGTACTGGGCCTCTCTTGTACATGAATTTTGTGTACTGGGCCTCTAGTCTTATAAAAGAGAAAGATGCAAATTGTGCCCCCCAGCCAACTATGCCCATCAGCCAACCAGGAGCAAGTATGCAAATTACCCAACAACGATGGCAGTGACCATGGAGCTGAAGAGAGCAGGGTTGCCTCCAGTGATGGAGGAAGCCAAGCTTCCGCTGCCCTGGCTTGCCCTGGCCTCTGCTCAAAGTTTTAATTATAGAAGATAAATAAATCCCAGATACCTGCTTCCAGCTGGACCACTCAAGGAGGCACTGGAAAAAAAGAAAAGAAAAAAGAGGGGCTGGGAGTCTGGATCACTGCGGGGCGTGGCCAGCCTGCAAACAGCCATCAGCCCCTCAGCCAGGCTGACCAGGCACCCAGTGGAGACCCCACCCTGAAGAGTGTGTGGCCAGCCTGAAAATGGCCCTCAGCCCCTCTCCCAGGCTGGCCATACCTCCCCAGTAGGGACCCTCACCCCATGGGGGTGTGGCTGGCCTGCAAACTACCACAGGCCCCTTGCCCAAGCCGTCTCATGCCCCAAGGGAACTCCTACCCTGATCTGGGATGCCCTTCAGGGAAAACTAGCTGGGTTCCACCTGTGCACCAGGCCTCTATACGAATAAAAGGGCAATATGCTAATTAGGGAGGCCACCCGGGAGACCTTCTGGACGTTCTTCTGGACAAAGCCATGGTGGTGGGGCTAAGGTAGAGGCAGTTAGAGGCCAAGAGGGGAGGGCAGTTGTGGGTGATCAGGCTGGTGGGGGGCGGGTTTATTGGAGGTAAGCAGGCTATCAGTGGGGGTCAGTTGGAGGTGATCAGGACAGCAGGGGGTGCAATTTGGAGTGAGCAGGCCAGCAGGGGGGCAGTTGGGGGCGAGTAGGCCAGTGGGAGGGAAGGTGGGAGTGAGCAGGCTGGCAGTGGGGGCAATTAGGGGAGAGCACACTGGCACAGGGGGCAATTGGGAGTGATCAGGCTGGCGGGGGGGGGGCATTTGGGGGCCAGCAGGCTGGCTGGCAGAGTGGTTAGGGGCAATCAGGCAGGCAGGCAGATGAGCAGGTAGGAGCCAGCAGTCCCAGATTGTGAGAGGGATGTCTGACCACTGGTTTAGGCCCGATCCCTGTGAACCAACAGTAGGACATCCTTTGAGGGGTCCCAGATTTGACAGGGTGGGCTGAGGGACACACACCCTCGTGCACCTGGCCACACACACACACACACACACACACAATGAGTGGCCAGATTATTATGGGTTCAGAGATCATACTAATCTGGCCATTCAGTGTATAGTCAAATAACAGGTGTTAAGACCATTCAAGGGGAAAGGTATGGGGAACACACGGTGCTGGGAAAATAGGACATCCCCAAGCAAAAGAATGTACCCTTACCTCACACCATGTACAGAATGAGCTCAAAATGGATGGAGGCCCTAAATGTCAGATAACCCTGTAAAATTCTCAGAAGACGACTAGGGCACAAAATTTTTTTTTTTAATATAGTTTATTGATTTTGTACAGAGAGGAATGGAGAGAGATAGAGAGTTAGAAACATCGATGAGAGAGAGTCATCGATCAGCTGCCTCTTGCACACCCCCTACTGGGGATATGCCCGCAACCAAGGTACATGCCCTTGACCGGAATCGAACCCGGGACCCTTCAGTCCCCAAGCCGACGCTCTACCCATTGAGCCAAACCGGTCTCGGCGAGGGCACAAACTTTATGACACCAGACTGGCAGTGACTTGGCTATGTCACCAAAGGCCTGGATGATAAAAAGAAAAAATGGGCCAATTGGACTTCGTGAAACTTTAAAAAATGTTGTGCATCAGATACTATCACTAGAGTATAAAGGCAATTTACAAAATAGGATGAAATGTTTGCAAATCATACATCTAAATATAGAAAGAACTAAACAAAAACAACCCCTCAAACCTGATTCAAAAACAGGCAAAGGACGTGAATAGACACTTCTCCAAAAAGTACATTCAGATGGCCGAGAGACATGAAAGATGCTCAAAGTCACTGATCATCAGAGAGATGTAAATTAAGACAACAATGTGGTACCATCTCACACCCGTCAGAATATCTACCATCAACAAATCAACAAATGACAAGTTCTGGTGAGGATGTGGAAAAAAGGGAACCCTAGCACACTGCTGGTGGGAATGCAGACTGGTGCAGCCACTGTGGAGAACAGTATGGAGTCTCCTCAAAAAATTAAATATGGAACTGCCATTTGGCCCAGTGATCCCACTTCTAGGAATATATCCTAAGAAGCCTGAAGCACCAATCAGAAAGAAGGTATGCGCCCCTATGTTCATAGCAGCACAATTTACAACAGGTAAGACCTGGATAGAGTGACAGCCTGGGGACTGAAGGGTCCCGAGTTTGATTCCTGGCAAGGGCAGTGCCTGGGTTGCGAGCTCAAACCCAAGTGGGGAGTGTGCAGGAGGCAGCTGATCAATGATTCCCTCTTCTCAATGATGTTTCTATCTCTCTTCCGTCCTCTCTGAAATCAAATGAAAAAAATAATTAAAAACACACACACAACAGTGAGTGAAAACACCCCACCTTTGTGCTCTTCATAAAAAGGATAAGAATACGTTGCTGTGCACGCAGACAGAATGTCAGTATGGAGCCCATGGCAGGACGCCTCTCCTCGGGGCGCTGGGTGGGCACAGGGCTCTGAGCGCTGGGACGCCGGGCTCCGAGGGGCACAGGTGCCCATGTGGGCCGTGAAGGCAGTGGTGGGCGGCCTTCCACTCCTGGGGGTCTACCCTCCCATCCTGGGGGTCTATCCTCCCACTCCTGGGGGTCTACCCTCCCATCCTGGGGGTCTACCCTCCCATCCTGGGGATCTACCCTCCCATCCTGGGGTTCTACCCTCCCATCCTGGGGGTCTACCCTCCCACTCCTGGGGGTCTACCCTCCCATCCTGGGGGTCTACCTGGGGGTCTACCCGCCTTGAGGGAGGACGCTGCACATCAGCCTCTGAAACTCCCGGCGCAGGTGGGAAGGAGGGAGGCCAATGTCAGCGCCGTTGGGGCGAGGCCTAGGGGCCTGGGAGAAAGGGGGGACAGCCTGTAAGCACTGTTCTCGGTGGGGTTGGGGCACGGGACCATGCGCCCTTGAGTTCCAGGTCCGACGGGCAATCCGGAGTCCGGGGCTGCGGCTCAGTCACTCCCCGGAAGACCCGAAGCCAGTCCCCTTGACGGTTTCCCCTCCGTCTCAGGAACTGACGCCCCGAACCCCCAGTGACCCTGAGAGACGCCGCCTCGCCCGGGGCGTCCGGGAGTCCATCTCCCCCAGCCCGGCCCGCGCCCGCCGCGTCGCTCCCGGCGTTGCCGCCAGGGGCCGCCGCCGCGCCCCTATGACACAGCAACAATAGGGGCCGCTCTGGCCGCAGGCCGCCGGCCCGCGCTTCCGCCGGAAGGGAGCCGCCGGCATGGGGGCGGGGCCGGGCGGCGTGATGGACTGCCGTTCTCGCCAGTCGCTCGCGGGCCAGTGTCAGCCCGGCCTCGGACAAGGTCCAATCGGCGGCGAGAGCGGCGGGTAGGTGGGGCGAGCGGAAGCTTCCGGCGGGGCCCGGCAGGCTCCGAGGAGGAAGAGCGATCGCGCACGGGACAGCTCTCAGCCGAGTCTCCGCGTTGGCCAGGTGGAGTGGGGCGACCGGGGGCGGAGACGACTACGGGGAAGGCTTGGGACGGGCCTGCGCCTCCGGGAGCCCCCCAGCTGGGCGCCGGGTCCGCGGAGGTCGGGGGCCGGGGTTCGGGGTAGAGGGGCTCGGGGGCTGAGGGAGCCGGCGGCCTGGGAGCCGAGGTCTGGGAGCAGTTCGGCGCGCTCTCGGGGGTTGGGGCCCGAGGGTCCCTGCGCGGAGCGAGGACTTTGGGGTCGGGGCCCGCGGCGTGGACTCCCGGGCCATCCGGGGGCACCGCCCTGCTGCGAGCCGCCCGGCCCCTCCGCCCAGCGCGGAGCTGAGGCGCCGGGCTGCCAGGTGTGCGGGGGGCGGGCCGCGCACCCCGCAGACTCGGTGTTTGAAGGGAGCGCACCTGCAGCTTCGCGGCCCGTGCCCGACAGAGGCCAGGCGTTAGGCCAAAGTCTTGCGTCCCATCTGATGTTGGCGGTGTCCCCGGCCAAGTTTTACATTCTTGCGGGGCGGGGGGTGGGGAGTGTCCCCGGCTAAGGAACAAGTTTGCGAGAACAGAAAGCGGCCGCGGCAGTGTGCCCTCTGCGTGCCGAGATTAATTCCTTTGAGAAACGTGAGACCTGGGTGTTGGCTCCATGGCTCAGGTGCCCGCGGCTCCGAGCCTGCCCGCCCCCAGTGGGTTTGAGCGGCTTTGCGCAGCTTTCGGTGCTCCCTGGCGCCCAGGAGCAGCAGCCGGAGGTTCAGCGAGGCCGCTTTCACGGGATTGGGGCCAGCGCAACGTTTGAGTGGTGACTGCCGGCCCCTCTTTCAGGATGGCGACTTCCGGCGCTCTGTTTCCAAGCCTGGTGCCAGGCTCCCGTGGGTCATCCAACAAGTATTTGGTGGAGTTTCGGGCAGGAAAAATGTCATTAAAAGGAACAACTGTCACCCCAGACAAAAGAAAAGGTCTGGTGTACATTCAGCAGACGGATGACTCCCTCATTCACTTCTGCTGGAAAGACAGGACGTCTGGGAATGTGGAGGACGTGAGTCTGCCCTCCGGGTGGCCCTGGCGGGGTCAGCACGGCGGGTCTGGAGGTCGTGGGTGGGTGTGTGGGGTTGCTGTGAGGTCGCTCTCAGTGCTGTTTTGATTTGCTTATCGGTCTTCCCAGTCCCACAGGCTGTGTAGGTTTCTCCTGTCACTGTATATGCTTTACTCATTTATTATACTTTTATTGATTTCAGAGGAAGGGAGAGAGAATCATTGATTGACTGCCTCCTGCATGCCCTGCCCTGGGGATCAAGCCCTCAACCCAGGCATGTGCTCTGACTTGGAATTTACTGTGACCTCCAGGTTCTTAGTTCGATGCTCAACCACTGAGCCATGCCAGCTGGGCATCACTATATACTTTAAACTTTGAAGATTAGGTACTAGAATGGGAGAAGCTACGTAAAAATCGTGATCTTGACTCCAGCCCACCAGATGGCTTCCTCCAGTGGTCATTTTACTTAGTGTTCTTTGTCCTTCAGACTAAATTGTTTTGTGTTAGGTTCAAGAGCAGGTCAGAGTTGACTTTTTGACTTATCTAGGAATGTTCCCGTGATGTTTCTATTAAAAAATTCTTTAAGAGCTCAAGTTCCCTGTTCAGCACCAGGCCTGCTCCTGGCCTACAAGCCTTTCCTTCCTGGGTGCCTCTGACCCTGGCCTGTCCGCCCTGCAGGGAGGAGGGTGGTCTTGGCCCTGTGCCCTCCTCCCGCCCCACGCGCTGAGACACAGGCCCAGCCTGTGTTCCCGGGCGGCTCGGGGCTTGATGCCGTGGCACAGGATTGATCTCCCTGCCGGGGCTCTCTGCAGGATTTGATCATCTTCCCTGACGACTGTGAGTTCAAGCGCGTGCCGCAGTGCCCCAGCGGGAGGGTCTACGTGCTCAAGTTCAAGGCAGGGTCCAAACGGCTCTTCTTCTGGATGCAGGTATGTAGGTTTTGTTTGTTTTTTTTTCTTTCCTCATCATAGAACTAGGTTAGAACCTGCTCACCAGATGGCACAATTGGCTTCCACAACCAGCTGGGGTGACCAAACGCTGCCGTGGAGCCTCAGTCCCAGTGCGGCCCTGAGCGCCTCCAATGCAGCGCTCTCTCCGAGTTCTCTGAGCCCTCCTCTCCCCCAGCGGAGTGCTCATGGGTGCCAGGCAGGCCTCCATCAAGTCAAGCTGCTGCCATGCCTGGCTCCTTCCCCTCTGGGCAGTGCTGAGGACATTACCTTGTGTGAAGATAATCTGTGTGCTAACTGAGGAGTGGCTTGTGGGTACCCTGGGTACACGTGTGCAGTTTTGACAGATGTCACCATGTCATCGTGTGTGTGTGTGTGTGTGTGTGTGTGTGTGTCCCAGTCTGGCTTGGAGAGCTGGCAGGAAAAGGTTTCCTTTTGGGGCCCAGTTGTCACCTTGCCGAAATAGGGGTGCAGGAGCTGGGCCAGGAAGAGCAGGCCTGGGTGCGCAGCCCGCTCCAGTCCAGCTCCATCTGAGGCTCAGGTGGGGCTGAGGTTGGCAGCTGCTGGGGCAGAGCTTGTTTCTCCAGTTTTGCCAAGAAGTCTTGTCAGAGGTTCGCCCCACATGAGCTAGTTTACCAGTTTCTCCCCTCCTCCTGTGTGCCTGTCAGTCCCCGTGTCCCCACACAAACGCATGCCCAGTGGCGATGGACAGATCAGTCTCACTGAAGGGTGGCATGCCCGATGACCCCACCACTCCCAGGAAGAGGCTCATTGTGGCGCCCTGTTCACCCCAAGGGCCTGGGCCGGGCGTGGTGTGGGCAGTGCCGTGGCAGAGGTCATTCATCAAGTGCATGCGTTGAAGGAAGGGCCTGGACTGTGGTCAAAGGAAGCCGCCGGCCTGCGGGACGGGACCTGCCCGGCACGTCTCGTGCTCGGTGCTGTTGTCCATAAGGGGCACGCCGTCGGTGGGGCGCTGGTCTTCTCCCGGCGCCTGGACGTGGACAGGCGACCTCGTCTCTCATCTGGAAGGCTGGGCTCTGGTGGGCGGGCTCTCAGCTGCGGCTGTTGTCCTGTCCTCCCCCAGGAGCCTAAGACGGACCAGGACGAGGAGCACTGCCGGAAAGTCAACGAGTACCTGAACAACCCGCCGATGCCGGGAGCACTGGGGGCGAGCGGGAGTGGAGGCCACGAGCTGTCTGCACTGGGCGGTATGCGGCCCTCCCCTCATGTGCTCGGGGGTCCCCGGAGGTGTCAGTGGCCCTGAGGGAGCAGGCCCTGTATGGTTTTTAAGACTGAAAGGAGAGAGAAGCATCGCTTGCTGTTGCACTTATTTGTGCGCTCACTGGTGGATCCTCACACGTGCCCTGACCAGTGCCCTGAGCAGGGATCACATTTGCCATCGTGGCCTCGTGGGGAGGTGCGCTAACCACTGAGGTCCCTGGCCGTGGCCCAGACCAGGTGTTTTAAGTGCAAGTGAGGAGTCCAAGCTGAAGACCTTCCCAGGTCCCCACTCCCATCCTCACAGGGAGAACAGTGTCAGAGACCCACCCAGCAACTCCATGCAACACGCATGTCCTCTCCCAGCGCACATGGCTTGTGGGCGGTCCTGGAGGCAGTGTGTTGTAGCTCCTTTTGCCTGGAGGCCCCAGCAGTACGAGCTCTTCTGAGAGCATCTTCCCAGGACGCAGGTGGGCCCTGAACCCGAGCACCTCTGTCTTCCAGGCGAGGGCGGCCTGCAGAGCCTGCTGGGGAACATGAGCCACAGCCAGCTCATGCAGCTCATCGGACCGGCCGGCCTCGGAGGACTGGGTAACGGCCTGCGGACGGAGCCTTTGTTCTAATTCGGACGCCTTGAGCTGTGGTTGCTTTTGTGTTTGAGTCTGTTTCCTGATTGGCTGAGTGGTGTCTGTGTGTTCCCTGTGCTGCCTTCCCTGGAGGAGGGCCTGCGAGCCTTTTGGTTTGAGCAGGAGCCGAGTGGGCCAGGCCTTCCAGGGCCCCCAGTGAGGGCCCCGCTGTGTGGCTCGGGGGAGCCCAGCCGGCTGAGGAGGGGCCTGCTGCCCCTGTGGGTGTGGGTGGGCGTGGCTCACAGCTGCACTTGCTTCTCTGCTGGACTGCGCTGCTGTTACCTTGACCCCCAAGGGTAGTGAATGGAACAGAGGCATTGACTTAGGAGTTGGCCTCCAGAACACTGATCTGAGCCGGCACCACCACTCACAGGGCCACACCTCCCCCTGCGCGACCCTGGGCTTTCATGCCGGGCATTTCTGCTGCTTTGGTGGGCGAGCGGGTGCTCCAGGTGCGACATCTGAGTGTGTGTCTCCTTGCTCCTCGTAGGTGGGCTGGGGGCCCTGACTGGGCCAGGCCTGGCCAGTTTACTGGGGAGTGGAGGGCCTCCGGCGAGCAGCTCCTCATCCAGGTGAGCCTTGCCCCTGCCCCTGTGCTCCCTTGAGTGCCACCAGGAGTGAGTGCCCATCTTCAAGAAGCCTGGGCACAAGACTATGTTTCCAGGGGTCACTTCTATGGTTTGTTCCTTGAGAAGTTTCTCTGAGTGTAGAGCACCCGGAACCATGAGGAAGTGCCGCGTTCTGAGTGTGAAACTGGCTCTTGGCTTTGCTTGTGCAACTGCCATTAGCCATGATGATCGTTCTTCTCTTCCTAATGGAAGAGCAAGAGGGAGAGAATGCCGTCTGAGTGGCTTTTGGGAGACCAAAGAATTGGGCAGAGGCGCTGCAGGACAAATGGGCTTCTGGGAGGGTCCTTTCATAGCCCAGGTTCTTCCCGGTGCAGGGCCTCTGGGGCAGGACCAGCGTGGTGAGGGTGCCTCTGTGGGCGCCCGGCGGCTCCACCTGCCCTGCTCTTCCCAGCTCCCGGAGCCAGTCCGCAGCGGTGACGCCATCCTCCACCACCTCTTCTGCCCGCGCCACCCCAGCCCCTTCTGCTCCAGCAGCTGCCTCGGTGTCCAGCCCGAGCCCCACGCCCAATCCAGGTAATGGAACCAGCTCGGCAGCCAGCCCAACCCAGCCCATCCAGCTGAGCGACCTCCAGAGCATTCTAGCCACTATGAACGTGCCGGCCGGGCCAGGAGGCAGCCAGCAAGGTAACACGCTCCTCAGCTCCAGGGGGTGAAGGTGCCTGCTGCCCCCGCCCTCTGGCTTTCCAAGGCACGGCCGAGCGTGGCCCTGGGCCGAGCTGCCACCCTACACATGCGCTGCCGTTGCTCCCTCCTCTCTCGCCACACCACACCCAGGAGAGCACAGCCTAGTTTGCAGCCCTCCGAATGGGCGCCTGGGCCGGCTCCAGCCCTAATGGCCGTGTGCTTGCGTCCTAGTTGACCTGGCCAGTGTCTTGACACCCGAGATCATGGCACCAATCCTCGCCAACGCGGACGTCCAGGAGCGCCTGCTTCCCTACCTGCCCTCTGGGGAGTCGCTGCCACAGACCGCAGAGGAGATCCAGAACACACTGACCTCCCCTCAGTTCCAGCAGGTGACGCTGCATCACCGGAGCCCCGGGCCTCCTGGCACTGCCTCCCCCCCCCCCCCGGCTTGCTCAGACAGCTGGTTCTTCTTTGCAGGCCCTGGGCATGTTCAGTGCGGCCTTGGCCTCAGGACAGCTCGGCCCCCTCATGTGCCAGTTTGGCCTGCCTGCAGAGGCCGTGGAGGCCGCCAACAAGGGTGGTAAGTATTGCTCCTCAGCCTGCTGCTGTGGCGGGACTGGGCGTCCAAGCCTCCCTGTTTGCACAACACGGGCTGGCTGTCCCTGAGGCCCAGGAAGTTGGCCTCAGGCTTTCTAATGCCTTGTAGACGTGGAAGCCTTTGCCAAAGCGATGCAGAACAGTGCCAGACCGGAGCAGAAGGAGGGCGATGGGAAGGACAAGAAGGACGAAGAGGAGGACATGAGCTTAGATTAAGTTATTTGCTGTCTTTTGTGGGCGGGGCTCTTGGCTGTGTGGACGAGCAGTGTGTTTGTGGGCCGTCACACACCCTCACACCTCTGTTCTAACTTGCTAATAAATAAACGTTTTTTCTTTTACCTGCCAACTCTGGTGTTTCTGTGCCCATCCCCTGTCCCTTGGTCTGCAGTGTTATGGGGACTGTGACTTTGAGGTGAACGACCTGGGGAGGTGGGCCATGAGCCGCACCTGTCCGTGCTTCCCTCTTTCTCATAGGACATGTGCGGGGACACACACACACACACACACACACACACACGCCGGAGAGGTTGGGGGGGGAGGAGACATGCAATGCTTCAAACAATAAGGAATAAGAAAAGGTGTTTAGAAAAACATTGACACTCAGTTACATAAGCTCCTTTTAATTTTTGTTTCAAGAAAAGGGACCAGTGATTTATAGACTTCTCAAACTCGTAAAAATTGATGGAAGGGAGATCTCACAGTTATAAAAGATAGAAAAAAACCATTTTATTGTATTTTAAACTTTCATTTAAAGTCAGACATAACTTAAACCATTTCCTCTGGGGAAGTTCATACAAACTTCATCTATGAGACTGGTGGAGGGTGGCTCTGTCAGCGAGCTGAGCAGCAGGTGCTCCTGCATGGCTAGGGTCCCCAGGGGCAGCCGGGCTATGTGGCTGGGCAGCCACCGGCCCCCACTGCGCCCTGGACACGCGCAGAGCGAGGCCAGGCGACGAGGGCCCGGTTCACCGTCAGGCCCCTCATGCAGCCGTGGTAGAACGGAGGCCACGCCCGTGTGTGTGAGGATCCTGGGATGCGGGGGAAGAGGGGAGACAGGTTGGGGCAGAGATTGGCTTCCTGCTGGCGTCCACCATATTGCAGCCGACCCCAGTGCCTGGTCCCCGAGGGCAGCTCCCCCTCCTAGGCTGAGGCCACACTCACCGGGCAGGCCCCCCAAGTGCAGAGGCACCGGGGTGCTGTCTGAGGGCTGCAGCATGGGACCCAGGGTCTGGTTGCTCCGGGAGTCCACCTCCAGCCGGAGGGCCGTCCTGCTTTTGGTCACTGTGGGACACAGGCTCCTGTGGCTGGCCTGGGAGGCCTCACCAGCCACAGCAGAAGGCCCACCCCGTGGCTTCTGCAGCTTCGTCCTCCCGAGTCCCTCCCACGCCCTCTGCTCTGCAGAGCAGGGCTGTGGGTGTCAAGAGCCTGGTTGTGGGACGGGGCCCAGCTCACCTGCCAGCTGGTGCCACTGCCCGTCACACAGCTCCTTGGAGAGTGTTACCAGCGTGGAGAACTTGCCCGCACCATCGTCTGCCCACAGCAGGACCTGGGGGGGGGGGGGGGACTGGACATCAGGAGGGCTCTGCCCACCCCAACTCTGCCCTTTGGCCATCTGCCCCCCCCCCGCCCCCCCCGCAACTTACCTGCTTCTCCAGCACCTGCAGCCCTAGGTAGGGGGGCACCTGGAACCGGCCCAGGTGGAAGATGAGGCCCGTGGCTGTCCGGGGCCGCACCTCCAGCTTGAGGCTCACGGCAGGAAGGGTGGTTCCCAGGGTGTCTGCGGGGAGGGACTGTGAGCGGGAGGGCCTGGTCCCAGACCCCTTGCTTCCTGCATGGCTCCCCTAACCCACAGCCCAGGGCACATGCGTGGGGGCGGGGGGAGGGGAGGCAGCAGACAGACCTAGAGTGATGGCTCCCCTACTGCCGGCAAAGAACAGGCCTGTCTCCAGGGGTTCTGACGAGCAAGGTGTGACCCCCACCAATCGGTTGGGGGTGCTCATGGGCTGCCCATCCACCGTCAGTCTCCTCACACAACCGCTGAACCGGGAGCTGCTGCTGAACGTCTGGGGGTACGGGGGGGGGGGGGGGGGGGAACGTGGGTCAGGTCAGGGTGCTGGGGAGGGAGGGCTGTGCTGGGGATCGGGCAGGGGATGCTGGGAGAGGCAATTCTCACCGGGAACTTGGGGCCATGGACAGGAAGACCCCCCACAAAGAGAGTGTAGGGCTGGGGGCCTTCTGCCCCCTGATACTGCTGGCCAGGCTCCTGGTTAGGCTGCTCCTGGCTCTGAGTCCAGACCCCATCCATCTGCAGCTGGAGCCGAGTCCTCGCCCAGCGCACAGACACCTGGGGGTGAGGAGCACGTCAGGCAGGAGCCCCCGGGGCCGCCACAGCCCTTCTCTTCAGCCCCTTACCTTGTGCCACTGGCCAGCTTTTGAGCGCTGGTGACTCAGGACGCGGAGCTCAGGCCCCGGGCCTTGTGTCTGAGCCACGAAGTATCTGTGGCTCAGGAAGAGCGCCAGGGAGGGGCTGCCCGCCGCCTGGGGCACAGCGAGGAGCAGGAGGCCTCTCCGGGTGCGAGGGCGGACCACCACCGAGAGCTGGGACCTGCAAGTCAGCAGCCAGGCGTGTCAGCCTGGGCGGCCCTCACCCCACCCCCTCCTGGCCTGGTCTTACCAGTTCTTAAAGGGTGCCAGGACGGCTGTGAATTCCAGGTAACTGGGCAGGGGGCCCCCAAACTGGTAGGTGCCGTGGATGGTCCCCAGGGGCCGAGGAGGCGTACAGGCAGAGTCCTGGGTCGGCTGCCGGGTGTGCCGGGAGACCTGTGGGTCAGATGGGGACGCAGGGGTGCTTAAGGGCCATCCTTTGCCCACCCCAGCTCCACTTGCCCCGCCTCCTGCCCTTACCCTCACCCCGCTGACCTTGTCTAACCCCCAATGCCTGTGGTGCCCACCTTCTGAGCCACTGTGGCCTGGAGTCCTCGAGGTGCCTGCACTGGCATCTGGGTGCCAGGGGCTGGGGCACAGCCGGAGCTCACGTTGATACCACCCACATTCTGCTGCAGGTCAAGCACGCGCTGGGGCCCCGTGAGCCTGCGAGGACAGCAAGGGCAGTCAGCGCCGGAGGCCTGAGCGGATGGGTCAGCACAGCCCCGACACCACTCAGCTCACCGCTGCACAAACACGTTGGTGATGCAGCCGCTGAAGTTACGGATGGTGCTGGACGCCCCCAAGCCTCCCAGGAGGAGCCGATGGGCCGGCTCAGGCTGTGGCTGTGGCTGTGGCCGGGGCCTGGGGGGCGCCCCCTGGTGGGGCTTCATCTGCTGAAGCTTGTCGTCCACGTAGAGCCAGACCCTGTGAGGAGAGCAGTGTTTCCCGCCATCCACACCCACAGCAGGTGCACCCAGGACCCCGCTCCGCCGCCCCACCTGTCCCCGCTCACCCTGAGCTGTTGCTATAGAAAGCGACGTAATGGGGGGAACCATCAGCAAACGCCCCCCGCGTCTTCACCTCCGTCGTCACAACCCGGAGTGTCACGTGGCCCTGCTGCAGGGACACCTCACACGGCCCAACCTGGGGACAGCGGTCAGTCAGCGGACCACGCCTGGGGCCAGACTTACTCCCTGCAGCCCCACGGACTCCACGCTGCAGTCCGTCTGAGGGTGGGCGGGGCAGGGTGAGGCCGGGGAAGGCTCGGGGGCAGCAGGCGGTCAGACGGAGCCGGGAGGACGCACCGGGGACGCTCTGTGGTACAGCAGGCCGCTGTCCTGGGTGCTGCGGAAGCCGAAGCCGGAGTAGACGCTGCTGGTGAGGGGGGCCACATCGGGGAGCTCCAGGGGCAGGAAGCCGTGGCCGTGGAACGTCATGGCCCGTCCCACCTGCAGGAAGTGCACTGTGAGGCCCGGCGCACCTGCGGAGGGGCTGCCGGAGCGGGGCAGAGGGTGGGCTCACCAGCAAGTCGGCGGTGCAGCCGGCACTGATGCCGGTGGTGTTCAGCCGCTTGAGATCCACGTACTTGCCCAGAGCTTTGATGCCCTTGATGCAGCCACGCACGGAGCCTCCGGACGGGAAGAGCTGGCGCAGGCTGCCGGGCAAGCAAGTGTGGGCACTGGTGTTGGGGGGGGCGGGCTGCCGGCTGAGACAGCACAGAGCCCCGCCTGTGGCATGCGCTCACCTCGGGGGCAGCTGGTCCGGAGGCACGCCCCCCAGGTAGTAGGCAGTGGCCAGCGCCAGCGTGTTCTCCTGCTCCACGATGAACACCATGGCCCGCTCCACGCGCACCAGCACGCGCTTGCGGTCGCTCCCCAGCAGGAGCACCTGGATCTGATGGCAGGGGCGGGGCCTCAGCGCCTGCCGCTCCTCCGCCAGCCCGCCCCACCTCCCGCCGGTCCTCCGGCTTGGCCTTACCGCCTTGCTGCCCGCGGTCAGGGGCGGAGGGGGCTGTACCGGTTTGGCCTCCTGCAGGCCCTGGCCGAAGTCATAGAGCAGCACGAGGCGGCCTTCCAGCACGGCCAGGCACAGGAACTGACCCTGCGGGGCGGGTGGGTCAGCCGGCGCGGGTCCGGGGGGGGGGGGGGGGGGGGGAGGGGGGCTGGGCTCGGTGGTGGGCGCGGCCAGGGCGGGGCGGGGCAGGCTTGCCTGGTGCTGCAGGTAGAAGATGATCCCCTGGTAGGACACCAGCCGCAGCTCCTGTTCGAAGCGCTTGGTGTTGCTGATCTGACTCTCCACTTTGATGCGGGCAAAGCCAGAGCCCTCCAGGTAGGAGCCGTCCGTGAGCCATGGGTCTCCGGTCGACTTGGTGCTGCAGGTCAGAGGTCGCAGGGTCAGCGGAGCATGGGCCGAGGGGGGTGAGGGCGGCCCAGCCGCACGTACCGAGCGCAAGGCTTGTCCACGGCCGTGTCCAGCTGGAAGGCCTTCTCGAAGTCGTAGAGGCTGACCACGGCCTCGTTGAGCGTGCCCATCTCGATGCAGCCCCGGTAGTGGGGCAGGCGGAGGGGCTCCGGGGGCTGTGGGCACAGCACCGGTCAGGGCGCCTCCCACCCAGGCAGGCCCCAGAGGAGGAGCGCAGGGGGCGGTCCCGGAGGCCAGGAACCGCAGGACTCGCTGGGACCGGGGCGCAGGGGGCGGTCCCGGAGGCCAGGACCCGCAGGACTCGCTGGGACCGGGGCGCAGGGGGCGGTCCCGGAGGCCAGGACCCGCAGGACTCGCTGGGACCGGGG